GAATGAGACCCAATAACTCCATTTGTTTGATGTTGAAACTTTGCAGACCCTTTACATTCACAAACAGCTGTATAAATCACTACATGAAAGGGTAATATCTCAAAACACATGATAGGGGCACTTTAAATGCACACATGGAAAAGTTGAGTATGAACCTTTTCCCATCTGGGTGGAATGCCACACAGTTGATGGGGCCGAAGTGTCCCTTCACACGCCCAAACTCCTCTTCATAAGCCGCATGGAAAAACCTAGAAGAGAGTGGCAGTACTGGATAAGGATTTTTTTTTTTTTTTTTTAAACCATTACACTTTCATGATTGTAAGTTTGTTTTATTTACCAACCCTGGAAAATCACATTCAAATTAAACACTAACCTGGCCTCGAATTTGCCGATCCTAGTGGAGGTGGTTGTGACCTCCATGGCCTCCTGACCACCTCCCATCACCACCTGAGCAACACATAACATCTCTGCTATTAACAACGTAAAAAACATTTACACGAATAACACGCAAGTTCAGTGCGAGGGAAAATACAGTGCATTTCAGAGACTTACGTGATCCATGATGGGCGAGATGGCTGAGGAGTTAACAGGTCGCTCTGTTTTGAAGGTTTTGATGTGATCGAGGGTTGCGGAGTCAAACAACTGAACAATGAAGGAAGCGGTATGTGAGTCAAACTAACCAGGATTCATTTCTGCCAGAGTTTATGATTCAGTTTCCAACACAAACCTTGGCAGTACAGTCTTTGGAGGCAGTGATGACCATCGTGAGATCCACAGATGACTGGATGTCATTGATTTGTTTGGTGTGTTCCTTTGCCTTCTTCAGAACCTCTCCTGACTAAAGAATCACATACATTAGACAACTATCATCTCTTCATGGGCATTATGATGAATGTGACGGAATATACACGTTGACAGAGTATACATGTGTTCAAAAGTCTGAGGTTGGTAATTGTTTTGTGAGTTTTTGAAGTCTTTTATGCTCACCAAGGCTGCATTTATATGATCAAAAACACAGTAATATTGTGAAATATTATTAAAAATTTAAATAACGGTTTTCTATTTGAATCTATTTTAAAAGTGTAATTTATTCTTGTGATGGCAAAGCTGAATTTTCAGCATCATTACTCCAGTCTTCAGTGTCACATGATCCTTCAGAAATCATTCTAAAATTCTGATTTGTTGCTCAAGAGACATTTCTTGTATTATTATCAATGTTGAAAACAGTTGTGCTACTTAATATATTTGTGGAAACCGTGATAATTTTTTTTGGATGAACAAAGTAAAAAAAAAAAAAAGCATTTATTTGAAATATTTTGTAACATTATTTATAAATGTCTTTACTGTTACTTTTAAATCAATTTAATGTATCTTTGCTGAATAAAAGTAATTATTTATTTAAAAAAAAAAAAACATAAATATCTTACTGACCCCAAACCTTTAAACGGTAGTGTTAAAGAAACAATAGACACAAACCTTAGCACTGAACTGGTTAATTTCTCCATTTTCATGGCCAGCAATCACAAACTCTCCCAGAGGACCCCATACAGCACTGGTGATCTTTGATTCACTGCAGGGCACAGACATATATGGCTGGTTGTCCTCTGTGGGAGAGAAACAAAATATCAAATATCAATATCACCAGTGCTGCTTTAATCACCAGTGGTCAAAATACCAACCGATTTGCTGAGGGTCTCGGAGGTCGAAATAGTTGAGAAAGCATTGGTAGCCCATCTGCTTGTCTGTGGAAAACATTATGATGTTCCCACTGAAGTCAAAGCCACACGTCCTCACCGCCGAGCTGGTCTCCAGCAGAGCCAGCTGCTTTCCTGATGAGTCAACACACAAACATCATTCAAGACACTGCTTGTTAACATAGCATTTACATTGACATTTCATATTAGTTTTCTTGGCATGGTTTGTGAAAAGAAGCTCAACTTACAATACTGGACAAATACAGTAAAGACATGATGTTAAATTTCATACGGGGAAAAAAAACAGCTTTGATGAACATTTCAATTTCTGAATTAAAATATTTTTTATTGAGAATTATTAATAGTTTAGTAATAATAATAATTACAAGCCAATGCAATTTGATTTTAAAGTATTAATATTGTGTGGATATTTAATGGACTGTGGCCAGCGATCCAAAAAAAACATCAAAAGCCTGAAATTGACAAAATTTGAATTTGTTAAATAATAATAAACTGCCATTTTATTTTAAAATATTAATATTACCGGTAAAAAAAAAAAAAAAAAAAGTATAGGTGGTTTGACTGTCTGAAGATTGAAAAAAAGCATTGATAATTCAGAATTGTTTGTTTGCAAATAATAATAGTAATAGAAGTAAGCTACTGCAAATTCTTTTTACAACATTAAATGTTTAAAAATATATAATTTTAATATTAAATATTACGATTTAAAAAAAAAAAACAATTAAAAGGAAAAACATCAAAAGGCTAAAATTCTTGCCAAAGTTTAGCATTTTTTTTAAATACTAAAAAGTAGCATTTTGTTTTAAAACATAAAAAACATGTATCCTTGTGTTGTTTTGTTGTTGTTACGTGTCAAGAAAAGCACAAAACAGAGATAAGTATTTGAGTATTTTATATTGTAATAAACTGCGGACCTGTTTCGCAGTCCCAGAGCCTGCAGCTGTTATCAGCAGATCCAGTCAAGACGTTCTTTGTGTCCCCTTTGAAACGCGTTAAGAAACATTTTTCCAAAAACAAATGACAAGTAGTAAAGAATGTTGCAGGTGAAATATTCAAATACACCCAAAAGTCTCAAGAAAACAATATATAAACATTACAATGAAATTCGTTGAGCATTTCTTCAACACAGACGATCTTTAAGGAAGGATACAGTCAACATCCACACACCAGACGGCACCAGTGTGTCCATTATAAGTGCCGAGCCTTTCTCCATTGACAGAGTACCAAACATTCGCAATCTAAAACGACAATGTATGTGTAAAAACAATCACAAAAATGCATTAGAAAAATTGTGATGCTGTAGTTGATCACTTACCGGATCCTTGGCTACTGAGAACAAGAGATCCCCCTCTCTGTTGTATTTGATCTGAGTGATGGACCTCTCATGGCCCTGCAGAAGAATGGGTTTCTATAGGAAATATAAAGCATGAGTGTTTAGTGTTCACGATTTAATAGATGACAGTCGAGTAACTGTAGTTACACACATTGTATGCCTTGCTGTAAGTGTTCTTGCTCTTCCCCATAATGTCTTATACAGCTAAAGCTACAGTAATAATACAGCCATCAGCTTCACTTTACAATCATGTGAAGAATTTTTGGCCAAATGTAACGTTAAAGCTTAGCATCTGTTAGCTAATGAAGAACCAACGGCCAACAGACTTCCAGTGCGTCTACATTACATTTAATAGCTCGAGTAATAAGTAGACCTATGCTTACCATTATCGCCGGGTTCGTATGGGCAGAATATGATCGAAATAATATTTCAATCTGCCGTAGAAAAACACAGTACGCGGTACGCGTGCTCAACTGCGCCCGGTTAAAAACGGAAGAGACGGACTTCACTTCCTGTACAGACAAAAATAAGTCCCTATTGAACAATAAACCATTCTAACGGTCTGGTAACATCATATACGAATAGAAAATTATTAATTTGTTTGCGCTGGTTTCATAATAATACAAATATGATAATAAACGGTCAATTTGAAAGATGTTTCGTTTTTTTTCTATTATTATTATTATTCGGAACATTAACTGAAACTGGTCAAAAACAGTGACTAGTAATACTATTAAAATAACACACACTAAATACCAATTTTTACTTTGTTAAATATTTGAAATTACAACTATTTAAATTAAAATATCTAATTTCAATCAAGGCTGATGTTATTGATGTTATCATCCCGTGTGACATCAGTTTAGCAACAATGAATACAAAAATCACATTTTAATTTTCTTAGTATTTTAATTTGCAAATAAATGTGTACAGGGTGTGAGAAAACAACAACAGATCTTTGGTACCTTCTATAATGGGAATGTCAAATTGAATGAATGGCTGGCAAATAAGATTTTCACACACATACCAGTTGACAAACAGAAAATCTAAACCTGTTCAGTAACCTTGACTGGAATGAAATATGGATGAGTTTACATGGCCGACTGATAACTTTATGCACTTCAGGCTCAACACTATACCAGCACTTTTGTACTCCACTCAGAATGGTACTGAAAGGGCACAAAAACTATATGATGTAAATGCACTGAACACATAAAAAAAAAAAAAAAAAAAAACAAGAGTGCTGAAACTTACTGACATCTCAGAACTAAGTCACTTTGTGTCAAACATACATTCATTACTCAGCATGTCAGTGCATTGCTCACATGCTAAACACAGATGACATGAACAGAGCTAGAATTGCATAGTGTTATTGAATCTACTTGTTTAACCTGATGAAATTGGGCAGGGGATTCAAATGTTTTTGTTCATAATATGTTAAACACATTAAGCCACTAATGCAAACAGCCATGTGATCAGTATCCGAAAAACTTAATATGAAAACCGTCCAAACTGAAATCACACACTGAATTAAATCCCTCAGTGGTCATGACATCATTTAAGTGCACATACCTAACTAGAAGTTAACGGAATGGGTTAAAGGAATGCATCTACAATGCTGGATATATTATCTGAAAGAAACAAGCGGTGTTTAAAGATGGTGTAAACTTCAGTTAAAAATAAATGTGATAAATTCAAGTGTGCAAAAGCATAAAGAAATCTGGGTTCAGATTAGATGAACTTTAAACTCAAAACAATGTTAGTCTTAACTGTACGTCGTCTATATTTCTGAACTCTGAAAAGTGATGAATAATAAATCATACATTCTTTGTTTGGTGCAGGACATAAAAAAAAAAGAGTGGTTGGGAAGTGGACAAGCAGATTTTACCGAATACAACACCTTAAGGCGAGAAAATAAATAAAAACACCCAAAGAAAAAAACGTGTCACATAACAACTGCTGTTTCATGGCAAATAACTTTCCCTCAATTACAGCAATCCATCTGTTAAGATTCTTTACGGGTTTTTTTTTTCCAGCCAAACTGAAAAGAGACAAGCATTTAATGGACAAACACTAGGCATTCCAAGACAGCAGCAACATCCATGCCCCTCTAAATGCAAATATGGAATTTTCTCGGGAATAAAGTGGGATAGAGCAAGCCACATAAAAACCAAAGAGTATAAACGCAGCATAGGAATCATGTTGAAGGCACAATCTTCCCTGACACAATGAAAACCCCCAAAAGCAGACGAGTCAGCAGTTCTATCACAGACGCAGAAAACTACAGACGCCGACTGCTGATGGAGGGTCGGGGGTCTGGTAGAGCTGGGAAGGATTGTGTGTGTGTCCTGGCCCTCCAGAGACAGCTAGACTCAATCCTGGGTTGAGCACACCTCTCTGTGACTCTCGGCCTCCAGATCTGGCCCGCAGTGGCACGCCGGGCTACAAGCCATTTGTGGAGTCTCTGGGCTGTTCTGATGGACAGGGCTCCCCTCTTCTGAGTCTATCGCTTCTGGTGGTGACCCCGTCTCTGTTTCTGGCCTATTCTCACTGCCTATGGAAACACCCTGAACCTTCTTACTTAGCTCATTACGCTCTATCTGTAGCGCACGACAGAGCTTTTCCAGTCGCTGCACCTTCACCTGCAGGCTTTCAAACTCCTTGTCTCGTAGTGTTTTCTACAGTGGACAACAGAGAGAAAACATAAAAAACAACTAAAATATACAGCTTTTAAACAATTACTCGTGTAACAAAGTTTTAACTTTTTTGCATTAAAGGTCCTGATATACTTCAAGAGAAATTTTAGAATGAACTAGTGTAATTTCGGGTAACGTCATTTTCGGGGGTGGGGGGGAATAAGGGCAAAAAACTAAATTTGTTTGGAGAGGAAAATTCAGTTTGCCAAAGTGAAATTTCCAGGAAACTTTGCTCTGGCTGGTAAACCACTCTGAACTGTCATTGGTCCGTGGCGATTATATAATAGGTAGGTGTGACTGTGACTCTGCTTTCTTTGACGTGGAAGTCTTTGGTTAATTTCTTCCGTTCAGTCCGTCAAGGTCGGATCGGATGTCCGCCATTAAAAACAAACACCCTCTAGAATCGCTTTATAGTAGAAATTGAAGCTGTAATTCTAATAGCAAGTGAAACTGACACCTTTTTCATGTTTAATAATGTAAAGCTGCTTGCTTTAAATCAATATATTGTATAAAGTGCTATATAAATAAACATGATGTGACTTGACTAGAGTGCTTAATTGCAGATCTGGTAAAAACATAAACATCGCTATGATCATACTTTGTTGCCACTGAGAGGACAGCGTGCAGCAAGTTTACTAGGGATGGGAATTGATAAGAATTTAACAATTCCGATTCCATTATCGATATTGCTTATCGATTCCTTATCGATTCTCATTGGGTGAGGGAATAAGTACAAATTTGTTTGTTTGTTTGTATTAACTTATAACTTATTTGTTTGTTAATTATTATTAACTCGCTGACACAGCACAGAGTATCAGGGGTGTGAACCTACACTGGTCTCACGGTTCCGTTCGATTACGATTATCATGTCATCGATTCAGTTCAATTCAATATCTCGATGCATTACATGCACTGCATCCTCAATTTTACTTCAAAAGTGATGTGTGCGTGCGTGCGCGTGTTCACCTGTTCGTGAAGTCGCAGTGACAGAAACAGTGACATTCCAGTTTAAGTTTCATGGGACTAAAGTCTGTTCATGTTGTGTGGCCAAATGTTTCTGCATATTGGAGGTCCCCCCCTTTGACGAAATGGAAATTTTACAGGTGTTGCAAGTGGCCATATTGTTATGAGGCGCCGTCATACTCTCATTAAGTATGTGCACGAGTTTGAATGTGTGTGTGCTCGCGTCTCATATGAGTATGTGCGTGGAGAGTTTTGCGCATCTCGTGTGTGTAGAGTTTGCGTGTATGCGTGAGCGACTTCATGTGTCGTTGTGCATTTCATATACTTGTTTGAGCATTCAGCAGTATACATGTATGTTTGACTACTTAGTATACGTGTATGGAAGTGTTTCATATATGTGTGCGTGAATGAAGTTTGATTTAAGCCCTAGACGGCACCTCATATATTGTCGTCTTTTCGCGTGAAATATAACCAAACGAGCGCTTCTGCCTCGATGCCATGTTTGCTGCGTTCTGAACCAAAATAACGCAGCGCGTGTGTGGCGTCATGATGACACATTTGCAACGAGCGGAACCGATAAGCGGAATAGTTAACCAGGCATACTAACGGTTCCAAGGAATTGGTTCACTGGGAACCGGTTCTGAAGAAGAACCGGTTCTCGATTCCCATCCCTAACGTTTACATATTCATCTAAAAGTCGCTCTCAGTGCGGGTGGCATCGAGATGTTCGCTGAGAATACACTGCTGAAAAACCATTTCGAATTTCTTTTTACCCTCAAGTGGAGAACGAAAAAGAACTTAACCGTGAGTATATCGGGGCCTTAACTGTCAAGACAGAGAACAGAACTGGCAAAGATCTGAGTACAACAATCACCTCCTCTGCCATCTCCAGCAGAGCTTTGTTACTGCTCTCCCATCGTGATCTGTACATGGTTGTTTCCTTCTCCAGCTTCTTAATCTTCTTGGTCATCTGCAGCATGATACAAAACAGATTAAAGCAACTTTCACATAAACACAGCCTTTAGAGATTTATATTTTGATTTGTGAAATGTGTGACAACGCCCAAGACGACCTACATTCTGTGCATTAATACAGGCCTTGCAGACTATTCCAATGTGCTACTTTTCCTTTGTTTTTCTGTGTAAACACACGCTACACAGACGTATATAACGTGCATAAAATCAGTTAAACCTTTTTAAAAACGTGTCGAGACCTTGAAGTATTTTCCCCCATTCTTCAAAGCAAAAACGCGCTCTGTGTGAACAAGCTCTAACAGTGTCTTTGTAGGAGTTGAAGTCCACAACATCCACTAATCGCTACTAAACAGTAATTTACCTTTTCCATCTCTTGTTTGAAAGTTGTGAACACCTCGTTGCTTTTGGAAAGTGTGTTTTGAAACTCTTCAAATTTCTCGGTGTACAATGAGAGCTGAAAAAGATCAAATAAAAACATTTTAGCATGGGAAGTCAAAACACACATGAAACAGTAGCACAAAATGTTTTGAGTGGCGCATAACCATGTAAATAACCACAATGCTACGGAGTTCTGGGTAGTTGCTAGATCTTTCCCACTAATCTATACGATTTTCTGCTAAATGGTGTATATACTACCATTCAAATGTTTAGGGTCTGTAAGGTTTTAATGTTTTAGAAAGAAGTCTCTTATGCTCACCAAGGCATATAACTCACATAACTGTTTTAATGCATTTTAAAATGTAATTTATTCCTGTGAATTTTCAGCATCATTACTCCAGTCTTCAGTGTCACTCAGAAATCATTCTAATATGCTGATTTTGGAGCTCAAGAAACATTTCTGATTATTATCAATGTTGAAAACATAATTTTATGGAAACAGATACTTTTTTCCAGGATTCTTGAACAGATAGCTCAATTTCTTTCCAAAAAAACACTAATAACCCTGTTTGTCCTATAAGTGTGTGAGTTAGGTCAGATCTGTCTTATGTCCCTCACCTGCTGTTTCAGATGAACCTCCTGCTGTTTCATGAGCTCATACATCCTCTGAGACTCAGCTGCCTCTTTCAGGAGCTGGAAAAGAAAGAAATGAGACCATAAGAATCTTAATTAGTGACTGGCAACCCTGTCCAGAGGGCATAACCGCACATATAAAGGCAGCAAATGTATGGTACATTCATCCCAACAAAAATAGGGAATAAGTATGTTTTTGAACTTCAGCTGACCACATGTTTGAAGTACTGGGCAAAGGATGTAGAAACTCACAAAGTCTTTCTCCTTCTGATGGCGGCCCTCTGAGTCCTTGAGCAGTGCCTGTGCCTGATTAAGCTTTGCATCTACCAGCTGCTGTTGCAGATCTTTGTGCTTGAACACCTTGTCAATATGCTGAGAGAGAAAACTATGTGCTTAAGGACAGCGGCTACAAACCACAACTCAAGTAATACATAAAAATGTATGAATGTCACTGTAATAAATAAATAAACTTTGTATTGTTTACCAAACACTAGCACAGATGTTTTTCCATTTATCTTCAGTTAAAAGGCATTGCAAATTTACTTCACTTTTCATCCTTTATTTCCATATCTCTCACCTCCTCTCTGAGCTCGTACTGCTCAATAAGTTTCTTTAGTTTGTCAGCCAGCTCCATGTTCTCCTGTCTTAGGTTTGCATTACGCTCGTTGTGCTGCTCCATCTGTGCTTGGATGTCATTCAGTGTCACCTGGAAATGTGAGGTCACTTCCTTCCTTTTCTCCTCCTCCAAACGGGCACGTTGCACACCATCCTCCTGCCAAGTAAAGCAAACATTAATCCATTAATCCATTAATCTCATTAAAGAAAGTACAATGCAACAAGCTTCTGGTTAAGTGAAAAGTAGAGTTGGAGCACTGATTAAACAATACTTTGAGCAGGGAGGGGAAACTGCTGAGGCAGGACACTTCTCAACACCTTTGAATTTAGATTTTGCATATGGCAGGCACCACAGACATGATGATTAAAATATACAGTACCCTCTCCGCATAAATAACAGATATCTTGTTATTTGCATTCATATCAAGTTAGCGTACCTTAAGTGTGCGGTTGTGTCTCTGCAGTTCTCGACAGAGACTCTCCAGCTTGCTGCGCGCCAGGATGGCCTTGCTGTGCTCATTTCTTAAGTGGTCCTTCTCCTGGATTAGCTGCGTCTGCTTCTTCTGCAGGGCTCGCATCTGTTTCTGAGCGTTACGGTGCTCCTCTAGCTAAAAGAAACACAGCAGGACAGGAGCATTATTATAAGTTGTCTAAATTAGGGTTGTCAGAAAGAATATCAGTAGTCGGTAGCATATGCATTGGGTAATTACAGTGGTAATAGCACTGAGATTTGAAACATCTTTACAAATGTATCATTAAAGAAAGCTCTTAAAGGTTCTCTAAGCGATCCTGGGTGACGTCACTTCTTGTTGACGTTCGAACTATTGTCAAACAAAACGGAGGCTAGCTAGACCCTCCCTCCTCCTCATCCGCACACTAACCCCCCAAACCCTTCTTGTCGGTCATTGGCTGGAACAGTTTGTTATGTTTTGGGGAGCGGGTCGCTGCAGTTTGTTTTTGGTGCTGTTTGTGAAGCATGGGCTGTCTACAGAGATCGCGTTTCTTTACAGTGTGTTCAGGGGACAGGCAGCCAGCGGATAGTGAGGAGATGTTTGCTGTATGTGACAAAAAATGTTTTGGCCTAAAAAACACATGACATCGCTTAGAGCACCTTTAATGTAGTAATGTGGGCTGAAAATGCCCAGCATTTCCTAGTATTGTATTAATGTCGACAAGCTGAAGGCTAGTCAGCTGAAATGGCAACACACGGTCTGGCAAATAAATTATTTATCATAAATTCACTCGTGACCTTTAATCAAAATAACTTCCTCTCCCTCTTGCAGCGACATCTCTTCTCTTCTCTGATAATGTCTTCACTGGTGTGAGGACAGGACAACCTGTCACTCACATGAGATCACAGCAATAGCAAACCAAAACGACCTAACGATGGACAAAATCAAGCCCTGCCCTACATTTTTGATTGTTCGAGAAGCCATTTCACTCTAATTACGATTGAAGTGCTCAAATAACATGCATATCTGTTACGAAATAGATGTTTGAGCCTCGTTCATTATATTTTTTTTTATTTCCCTCCGAAGCTACGAATATTCAAAGTTGATTACTACCGAAGCTCAAAAAATGGTATTCAGACCAACAGCAATCACTACATGAAACTACTTTCAAATAACTTTATTTATCTCCATTTATAATGTTAGTAAAGGTTTTTTCTTGACTATTTTCTACCCTCTCTCTGTATACAACAAATGCTCTGAGATGTTGACATCTCTTGATCATCATCATCATCATCATCAAGTCTTACCAGCTCAGCATACTTCTTACAGAGACCACCCAGCTTCTCCTCTGGAGTACTCAGTGTGTTGAGAGTCTGCATTAGAAGGGTTATCTCTTTGCCTACAACGCAAAAGCCGAGAATAGAATTTAGGTTAAGAATAGTTCTGGGTATTGACACATATTTTACATCTTGATTCAATTTTGATTCAAATCTGATCTCAAAAATATTTCAGGTATATGTCAAGAAAAAACTATTTTCAACACTAAAGCATAAACTCCATTATGAATGGAGGTATGCAAGAACTAATGGTGAAAGACGCCATTGAAGAACACATTCTGAATGCCCAACTGCATTCAGATCAAGTGTGTGGGTTCACTTTGAATTGTACAGAATCACAAAGAATGAGCTTGAATTGGGCTTTTGTTAGTGAGGCCATATTACTGCAGTAAAGTAAAAGACACTACAGTAACACATGGATGTTAGAAAGGACAAATACAAAAGAATGCACGTCTCACCATATTTATTATACAACCCGAAATCTACATTTTGCCAAATGTAATACAATCAAGAATCTAGGATTTGTTAATTCTCCTTAACCTTTATTTAACTGACAAAAATACAAAGAAAAAAATGTCAAATGTTTTCTCTGGCCAAATTAATTGTATTTTGTAAATATAAACAAATTTAGATTTTGAAGGCTGCAACATTCCAAAAGAGTAGGGACAGAGGCAAAATAAAAGTGAAAAGACTATAGAATATCCAAGTTAACCTGTTTTGAAACAGTCCATAATTAGCAGGTGAACTGGTAATAGGTGAGGGTATCGTGTTTGGGTATAAAAGGAGCATCCACCAAAGACTCAGTCTTTGCAAGCAAAGATGGGTCTTGGCTCAACACTTTGTGCCAAATTTCCTGAGAGAATTGTCAAACAATGCAAATATCACATTTCTCAATGCAAGATTGCGAAGTATTCAGGTCTTTCACCAAATACCATCCATAATATTGTAAAAAGATTCAGGGAATCCAGAGAAATCTCAGTTCATGTAGGGCAAGGCAGGAGACCTCTGTTGAATGTGCGTGACTTTTGAGCCCTCAGACGGCATTGGCTGAGAAACCATGATATTACTGTGTTAAATACAGCCACATGGGCTCGGGAGTACTTTGGGAAACCATTGTCACTTAACACAGAATCAAGTTGCATTTCTTGATGCAGGGGCAGACTTTTATGCAAGGAGAAAGCTACACATCTGTTCAATGCAGAGATGGCACTGAGTTCTCTGGGCCCGAGCTCATCACAGATGTTCTAAAAGACAGTGGAAATATGTGCTGTGGCCAGACAAATCCATGTTTCAGCTTGTTTTGGGGAAAAACTGACTTTGAGTTCTCAGTCCCAAAGACATCAGTGACTGACAGGGGCAAAAGCAAAGGTACCAGTGATGTTGAGGCGTATATTGGGATTCTACAGAGACGCAGTACTGTGCAGAAATCTTAGCCACGTAACAGCCGGTATGCTCCACACGGAAATCTGATCTCACCATCATTGAGTCCATCTGGGATTACATGAAGTCTTCAGTGTCACATGATCCTTCAGAAATCATTCTAATATGCTGCTTTGCTGCTCATGAAACATTTCTTACCATTTTCAATGATGAAAACTGAGATACTTTTTTCAGGATTCTTTGATAAATAGTAAGTTTAAATGAACAGCATTTATTTGAAGTAGAAAACTTTAGTAATATTATATGCGTTATATATATATATATTTATATATATATATAAATGCTACCTTTGTGTCTGTCTTTTCTATCACTTTTGATCAAAACACGTTAGATAATGTAAAGAGCATTAATAGCAAGACAACAGTTGGTGTCGGACTCGTTACACACTTAAGCAAACGCACTGACTCACCCAGTCCCTTCACTTTCTTCTTGTCTTGCAGCTTCTTCGGGTCCTTCTCCACACATCCATTGCCATTCAGTTTGGCTTCCACCTGTTTGCCATCCTCTCTCTCAGACAGCCCGTTCACTTCCACGCCGTCAGGCTGGCCATTGGTCACTGCCACATCATCGCTGCCAACACCACCATGCTCATGACAATAGGTGCTGAGGATGTCCTCTAGCTGTCTGCACAGTTCCTCAGCCATGTCACAGGAAGCAGAAATCGCACCGGCCTCTGCCACTAAACACAAAGAAACATGAGAGAAGACATACGGCAATGGAAATGACTTTTCCACAGTGAAGATGTGAATATATACTAAGGTTTTGGGTGAGTTTAGAACAGAAGAAAAAAAATCAACGTGTCAGCTCCCTTACAGCCTTCATCAGTCTGAGCATTGTTGGTCGGTGTGCCGTCCGACTGCGTTTCGATTTCTTTAGGGCTATTGGTCATCTCAGATGCCACGGTGCTCTCCTCCGTATCATCTGCACTGCTATCAGCAACTGGGTCCTCCATCTCCCTTCTCTGCATTGCTGATCTATGTACAAATATTAAAAACGCCACAGTGCACAGGTAAACGACTACAATACGACACACTTCACTATCTAACAGCTTGAACAGTTACAGTTACAATTCAGTTGCACAATTAAAACGAATCTGATGTGTAAGAGACTGACAAAACAAACGAGGATGACACTTGTTGACTACGTAACTAACTACATAACATTAAAACGCGCTAATCACTACAATCCGATTTGAGATCACATTTAGGACAGCCAATCATTAAATGTTTCTTGTAAACTTCAGTAAACATCAACCAACAGACGTGTCTAAAAAGAACAAGTGTTACGTTTATCTGACGGGTTATAACTGTAAATAAACAATCAAGTATAATTGAGAGATGTAGCTGTGTAACATCTCGCTCGACTAGTTTAGCAGTCATGGCTAACAAAACGCAGAGTTAAATATCTGCCAACTGACTTGAGGCGCTCTACAATTGTACAAAACAGACACACCGAACGTATCTGTGCTGTCAGATAATTGTGTTTAAAATAATACCAGTGTCTCAGTTTGGTCCAAGAAACCCCTTCAGATGTTTGTCACCACTCTTTACCCTTCCCACTGCTGCTTCTAACTGACACAGGAAATGCCAGGGAAACACTCGAAGATGATTCGTCGACCTGTGGCAAACTTCCGGTGTATTATTAGGTGTATTATTATTGGTTTTATTATTATTGTAGTAGACTCTGGCAGTGGTTTATTATTTCTTTATTTTTGTTTTATTAGCTTCGAATTAATATTTCTTATTTCATGTAATATTCCCGTTAGTGATGGGAGCAGCGTCACCGATCAATTGAACCAAATGATTCGCAAAATGATTCACTGTTTCGAATTCGAAGCGCTCGAAACCATATGCTCGAAACACCACAAGCTTGTGGAACCGGCTGGTCAAAAGTCAAGTGCAACGAAAACTCAACAAAGGACAAAACATTTACCGGCGAAACCACAATAAACAAAATATTCTATAGAGGTTACTTAGAATACATTAAAATAAGCTATCTTCACTTGTAAGTCGCTTTGGATGAAAGCGTCTGCTAAATGGTTAAATGTAAGTTTTACACCTTTTTTTATTTAAATATATAAATATTTCTTGAACAGCAGTATTTTGAAATGTTTCGAAATCAAGCTAACAACGCTCCGTTTGCTGAAATCACGTGACGTGGCGAGTTCAATACAAGCTCCGAACCACAGAATCGACACAGGAGATTCATAAATGTTTCGAAGCTTCATGTTTCACATTCAAGTACCACATAAATAAAGATTATAAAGAATTCATACATGTACAGATGGTTCTAAGAAACCTGAGACAGGAGTGACAGGATATGGAGTGGCAAGGTCTGCTAAAGGAATAGGAATTAATAGAAGAACATCAGATTTTTTAGGAGTATAGGCCTACACAGTGGAAATGGTGGCAGTGTTAGTTCCGTTAAGGTGGGTGGAAAAAACAAGACAAGAAAAGGTGCTGATATGCTCCGATTCATCCTCAGTCCTTGTGAGTTTAAGGTCTTTTCACTCAAAAAGCCGTTAGGATGTATTGTATGAAGTCAGTTACAAGGATAACAAATCAAGGAGGACGGTTACAATTTATGTGGGTTCCAGCACATGTAGGGGTGAAAGGGAAAAAGCAGGTGGATGATGAATTGGCACAGAGGGCTTTAAAGAAGGGAAATATAGAAATGCAAATTAAAATAAGTAAAGCAGAGGTCAAGTATCATCTGGGAAAAAAAAACGAACCAAATGTGGCAAGAAAGGTGGGACAGAGAGGAGAAAGGAAGGCATTTATATCAAATTCAAAAGAGTGTAAAAATAACTAGGTTAGGTGGGCACAGGAGAGAGGAAACTGTAATGACAAGGTTAAGGCTGGGGCACGGTGCTCTAAACAAAATACTGAAAATGATATAGGAAAACACGAGACAGGCTTGTGTGAATGGTGTCAGGAAGAGGAGTCAGTGGAGCACATAATTATAAGATGTAGGAGGTATGAGGTACGAGAGTGAGTGAACATGAGGAATAATTTGAGGTAATTAGGGGTGCAGGAATTAACATTAAAAGGATTGTTGAACATAGGTGACAGAGCGGTTAGAATATTGTTAACTTTCTTAAGGAAAACTTAAGAAACTTGTTTAATAGGTTATGAGGCTAAACAGGGATATGGAAAGTGTGTTGGGAAATGAATGAAATTGTGTGTGTGTGTTATAAGATTATTATTTTCTTTTATTTCTTTAGTTTCTTTTTATGTTGAAACTAGATTGTAAGCCTATTGTCTGATTCACACTCCGGAGCAGAAGGTGGCGGTAATGCACCAAAAGCTGATTGCCAACCGCCGTTAAAACCAAAAAAGAAGAAGAAAGAAGAAGAAGATGTTTCGCATTCGCAAACGTCAGCTTCGTCGCCATATTGGACCGGGCAACTCACTCTCTCTTGGAAAAAAATGCCTGATTCATGTGTTGCTTGGGGCTGTAAAAACCGTCGCACAATACAGACAAAATCCCGGGGAATTACCTTTCACAAGTAAGATTGAACAATTGTTTCTGGTTGTATTTGGTTATTATAACGTTATGTTGATAGAGCCAGACTAAGCTAGCAAAAACAAGCTAGCTACGAATGCTTATACTATATAACAAATGTTAAAGGTTTTATCAAAGTTTATATGCTTTCTTAAAAAGGCTCGGGTTGATTTGTGGATTAAAACATAATCAGCTCGACTCATCACGACCTTTACAACAACTCCATCTCACTGTTTCGAGCAGCGCCACCAAACAACCAAGCTGTGTGCTAGAATATTTTGCTAAAATAAATTATAGAAAACGAGAACGAAGCAACGTAAAACTCCGTGCCCTTAACTGATATGACTTCGACGTTTCAGTTTAAAAAAAATAATAATAGTGAATAAAATAAAATAAAAACATGAAAGGGCAAATAAATGTGGTTTATTTTATTCTCCGACACTTTCTCTTTATCATTTAAATTAAAAAACAATAACAAAAGAAACTTTTTTTTCTTTTCATTTCAATTATCAGTTACCAGAGTTCTCTGCTTATGAGAACAAATGTTTATATTATTGAAAAGCCAGGCCATTCAGGTACACTGATTTTATTTAAATTATTTGTTTGATGTCTGTAGATTCCAACCTTTTACAGTCTATGATTCCAACTTAAAAATATATGGTCTACCGTGACCGTGATTTATTAAATTTTATTTCAGAAGACACCTTTCAACCAGCCTTAAGGCTTCATGTGACCTTAGGACGGCAAAACAAGGCTTTCGTCCGCTGCCCTTCAGTTATTTTTACCAGATGTACTACTGTGATAGAAAATTAAGTTGAAGTTGATGTCTCAAAAAGTTGAGGTTCCTGAGAGATTTTGTTTAGTCGCTATACCAAAAGTAGCCATTGGGACCTTCAATGTTAACTTAAATTAATTGTTTGATGTGTTCTCCTGTCATAAATGAATACATTTCTGTGACAATATAACGGCCATCACAAAACAGTGGCTTAATATGGAACCTTGAGTCTACAACCTTTCCAACAATATGTTTTCAGAACAATTTTCACAGGATGAATTTAGAGTATTTCCACTTTTTAATGATACCTAATTTATGATGATTATTAATAAATATTTGTGGCTTGAAAAAGGATGGAAATTTGACAGACCTGTGCTTATGGTTTATCGATTTGTTTTGGCCTAGGGCAAACTATGACTTGCTGCCAACGTCGAGATGTTTAATAAATATTCCAAACATACTGAATACCGTAATCATTACTTTCCGGACCTTTGGTAGAAAGAAATCAGAAATTAACTGGACCTCTTGGAACATTAATGGACTGTTCTTAGTTTAAATTATAAAAATCAAGCAATTACCCATAATCAATATTTATTGTCATAATCATAATGCCATAATCATTCAATCATTCACAATCATCTATATTGGTTGGTTTATGGTTTTTGTTCTAAACTAACTTTTATTACAAGCTCCTCGTTTCATCTGAGTGACTGACATAATGTTATTGTGAATCTGACTGTTGTTATCTGGCTATCTAACTTATCTCACACTTTGAAGGTTTCCCAAACCTAAAGCGTTGAGGAAGCAGTGGGAAATTGCCCTAAGATGGGAAGGTTTTTCCGCCAGCGATTCTTCTGTGCTTTGCAGTGAGCACTTCAGGGAGCAGGACTTGGACAGGACGGGTCAGACCGTAAGGATCAGAGAAGGAGCTAAACCATCTGTCTTCAATTTCCCAGCTCATCTACAAAGAGTAGGTCTACCTCTAGATTAAAGGATATGATAGCTAGTCATTAGGCTTTTATATATTTGTATATATAAAATGTTTTCCTTCCATTTTAGCCAGTGTCAGTGAGGACAACAAAAACCTCAAGGAGGGCTGAAGAGAGCCTGTCAGTGGACTGTTCTCTGCAGTTCAAAGAGACTAGACCTCCGCCTAATGTTGTGAGTTTTGTACCATACTAATTTTGCACCAAACTGCTATGACTGAGCGATGTGGCACAAACATTAATGTGTAAATTTCCATCCTTTCTTCTAGGACCACTCCTATGCATTGCCAGCAGATCCCACTGGTCTAAAGGCCAGACTCAGTGAAGCCTTGGCTAGAGTGGAGAGTCTGGAGAGGGACATGAGGAACGTGAGGAAACGAGAACAAAGGGCAAAGAGTATAGTACTTTCTCTTCTAGAGGATCTGAGTGGAAAGAACGTCATAAATGAAGAGCTGGAACACAAGCTCAATTTTTACTCTGGGAAAATGAAAATTCAATAAAATGTTGAACTTTATGTATATCTCATGTCCGCACTTTCCATGTCTCTACAAATTCCTGGTTATTATTTCAAAGGGAATTTCAAATCTTCTCATTTGACCTCCTGCCAAAAAGGGCCATGAGTGCAAAACAAACTGTCCACTGGTCCAAAAGCATTCAACTAAGGGAATCTTTCCTTTTTGATACATACACATCCACATGCATACATTGCAAAGTTTTTTTTTTTTTTTTTTTTTTATGTAATTTGACAAAATTCTGGATGGTTTTACTAAGGTGGATGCTAGGCTTGGCCTCAACACGATGTTATATATGTTTATATGTAAAGTATACGTGATATTGATGTCTGGTTCCAGTGCAGTGGTTCGGTAGGAAAACACCTGCCAAGTCAAGACGTTTTTTTAATGTGTGTATTCATTTCTCAAATGCAGTTTATTTGTGACAATTTGTAAGCTGCCTTGTGCATTGCATGTACTTCACTTTTGTTTTTCTAATTATCATTTGTGAATAGATGAATAAATATCTATTGTAATATTACAATATTCTGGTCTAATTAATGTTATATATATATAACATTTTAATATATATATATATATATAGAGAGAGAGAAAGAGAGAGAGTATAAACAATGTTTTTCATACTTGCTTGATGAACCACTAACAGGTTACGTTTAAGTTAGGTCATTAAAGAGCCCTTTCTACTAACTAACTGTGTTTGCATATAATTGTTAGAATTTGAGAGAAATATTTCAGCAAATGCATCTTTGCAATTGGGGGGAAAAAGGCAGTAACTTGCATGCCACAATAATAAAACAATGGACAACTTACACTATCAACATAAATATGACAGTAATGGTACCTTGAAAAACATGTAATTAAAAATGTTCCTTCTTAAAAAGCTGGTTAACTGTATTCATCATTCTTTTACTGACTTTACAGAAGCAAATTTACAAACCAGATGTTTTATCGTTTTATTTGTATCTGGACAAAAAGAAGAAAAAAAACTCAAACATTTGTTCAGAATTGTTCATGTATATGTTCGTGTGACATGTTCAGTTTGTGTGTCCGTCACTCATTCATATCGTCGGTAAAGTCAGTCACAGTACGGGCAATTGTAGGCAGAGGAGAAAAAAAAAAGAAGATTTAAATATAAATACATTTAAAAGGAAAGAAATTACCAAACCAGGATACAATCTCCACCTGGGCGAGTCTTAATATCGTGTATGAAAAGTACTTTGTAGCATGTAGCATTGTAAACACAGGTGAGTCAGCCTTACTACACAACCATATGCATCAGCTCCAGGTTTGGAAGAGACAAAAAGTCTCAAAATGTCAACATCTACAAGATCTAGGACGGAAGACCATAAAGACCCAATTTCACTTATTTGTGGCCTTTTGTAAATATTTTATTGTTTTCTGCACTTCTCAGAAGTTATTTTAAGGAGTAAAGAGCAGCGCTCAACTTTAAATTGTGCCAATATAACAATATAATTGTTAAAGCTCTGGTTTAAGTGTGATTCACAGAGACAGATCATGAGACACCCAGATTTGTTTTTGAAATCTTTTGGCTTCTGAAAGCAATGTCCTTAAATGAGAACAGAATGTCTGCGAAAGAGACCTGAACTGATTTGGATTTGCTGTAATTGTGCTACAGTAAGTTACAGAGGGAAGTCAGACTCAGAACAACATAGTTGGGTCTACATGGTCAGCTAGTGCGCTTACAAACAAGAAAAGAGCAACACATATACACAAAAATACTCGATGAGGGCAAAAAAAAAAAAAAAAAAAATTTACAGATATTACAGTTTCTCCTTCGATAATTAGTATCTTCACTTCCTTTATGCCAATAGAACTACGCCCAAAACGAACACAAAGCTAAGCAAACAGTACACACTGAGAACATTGCATTGGCCTTGGTTAAAAGTATTAGTTATCGAGCACAATAAATTATGCATTTTTCTCTTTATACCTTTGAGTTTACCAATTTGGTGTACAAGTAGCAGACCATCACATCTCTAATGAAACTGTGGCAGACAATGTAACCTAATTTGTAAGATAAGAAAATAGAGCAGCAATATTTGCACAAAATGTGTGCACATTCAAGTAAACAAAAAAAGAAAGAAAAAAAAAAATCAAAGACAGATTGATAAGCATACAGCCTCTTGTCTTTGTTGGTCTGATTGGCACTTTTGTGAATAGGAGTGCATTTCCATTAAGAGATAATTTCTTTGCTTTTTTTTATGTGATCAATGTATGAATCCACCCAGTGGTCTTGCAGACCATTAGATATATTTTATAAGCATAGTTTTTTTCTTCCTTTCCCCCATTTGATCACAGTCTTATTTTGTGTAAAAAAAACAAAAACAAATCTGGACTGCAGCATCTTCGCTCGGAGATGGACCTGTAAATGCAGCAAAAGTCACACATTTGAACCCATATAAAGCAAAACCCTGTTTGAAATTCACCTTGATACTGCTGTTAAAGTACATCAAATTGTGAAGAGGTATTTTCAACTAGGTAAATGCAAGTGTCTCAAATTCAAAAAGGAGAATTAGTATGGAAACCTTCTTTCGGTTATCAGTTCTGATCAGGAATCGCATCAGACATTGACATTTACAGAAGGAAATAACTTCTAGATATTAGTCAACCAAAAACATATCCGTACCAAACACAGGATGCTGCTCCAATAAGAACAGATGCTGATATGAACTGTGCATCACTTCCCTTCCCTCCCTACATTATCCGTCAGTCAACGTATATGTTTTCATAGATACAAGCCCGTACTAAATCAAATAACCCCTAGCATTCACTCAGAGAAGCGCCCTTCTGTCAGTGTATTATGGAGGTAGAGGAAAATGCTTCCATAAATGTTTACTCACAGTTTTAAAGTAAACCACGGCTAGTTTTGTACAGGGCGGGAGGTTAATATTCAAACTTTTCATGTATTCTGTCTGAAATCCACAGCAGTCTAACATCAAACTCTGGTGTTTTAGTGCATCAACCTAAAAAGTGCCAAATGGTAAAATGAGAGATGATGTTTGGAGATTACGGAAGTCATTTTCCCCTCGGTTTTATACTAATCTGTACGTGTACATGTTTAAGAAGTGTATGCTGGTCTTGTATGCATGTGTGCAAAGTGTGTGCAAATAGAACAATATCTATATATATATATATTTTTGCCCATAAATTTCATTATTATATAAAGAAGTATCCCTTGCCATATCCACATCACCTGTAAAAATAGAAACAGAACCCAGAACAACTCCAGCTAATGAGTGTGAGCTAATTGAATGAAGATCTGGCAAGGGATACAAAATGGTTGTTGGTACCAACAGAACACCATGCAAAACCCCAACATGCACAAACCGAGGGCTGCACGAAACAAACACCTTGAAGTTATCAGAACCACCCAGTATTACTATGCTCCAATTAATAACGAGAAAAGAGCAGAATTAAGACTCCATCATGTGCATTACCCCGGCCCTCAGATGTGTGCCGATTTACCCCAGATCACATTTCATAGTTAAAGCCTTTTGATCAAAAAGAAGAGTTATTCATAACACTGCACACCACGAATACCCTACAACTAGATATTTCACCTCTGACGGGTAAAAAAAAAAAAGAACAGAAAAGAAAAGAAAAATGGGCATTATCTTTACTAAATGGGCTCTTTGGGCCGCACTTCACCAGTCATCGTTTTTTAACAGTAATGACTTTTTATATTAGGATACTCCTTTACTAAAATGCCTGGATTATTTTAACACCACCCACCACCACCACCACGTCAAACAGACTCTACATTAACTCCTGTCGTTTCCACACCCAGCATGGTCTGAAATGATAAAGTCAATGAATACTAATACAGCTCCGGAAAGCCATTGAAGAGTGCTTAAGTTGTCATGAAACGCATCTGCGGATATTATGGTGTTTTGTCTAAAAGCATGGTCATATCAAATATAACCAGGCTTTTTTAATTACCAGAATATGAGTAATGAACAGAAGAAAGAAATCCTACAACGCAACACTTGATAATTCAAACCAGGATCAAAAAGAAAAAGGATTTGATTTTCATTAGACGAGCAAACGATTCTCTCATCTTTCAGTGAAAAGGGAAAACTGAAGCATACCTTGCCTTAAAAAAAGAAAGGAGGACACAGCGCCACGATTTCTACCTGAGGGGGATGATTATTTAGCTGCATCATTGAGGGGGACAAAATGAAATAAACTAAAATCCAGCTCTCTCTTGGGTGTGACAGGGCAGTGGATTGGTTCCCCTGCTTATAACACACCTCAGTGTCTAAATAAATCAGTCTGGGTCATGGGTCGTAGGTCGAAATTTGGTTCACTCAGATGTCAATCGTTGCGCTCTGAGTGTTTCCGATGTATGTTTCGGTAAGGGTATGGGGTGCGGGGAGGGGTGTAAAGGTCAGGGGGCGGCCGGGAAGGGTCTGGAGGCTGGTTATAGCTGGAAGCCCTCCATGGGAGCCTCCTGCTGGGGGAAAAGGAACTGCTGCTGGTTCTCATCCACCTGTGGTGCCAGACTGGCATCCTCTTCCTCTACTCCAAAGTAGTGCTCGATGAGGTCAAAGGCTTTCTGGTAGATCTCCTGATTTTCATGACTCTGTAGGAACTCGATTTTGTCCAACCCTGGTAGAGAGATATACAGTTTATATTTCACAATATTACAGTTTTACTATATTATTTATCAAATACATGCAGCCTTGGTGAGAGCATAAGAGATTTCTTTCAAAATGTCTGTCTGTCCGTCCATCTATCTATCGATATCCATCTCTGTCCATCTATCTATAGGTCTATATCTACATTATCTATCCATCTATCTATCTATCTATCTATCTATCTATCTATCTATCTATCTATCTATCTATCTATCTATCTATCTATCTATCTATCTATCTATCTATCTATCTATCTATCTATCTATATCTGGTCACTTCATGCATTTTTACAAATCGGATATCTAAGAGTTCAATTTACACTTGGCCACATAAATGTGTCTACGCAAAACCAATATAAATCTGATCTTCCATTCCCAAGCTACAGTATATGCAAATTTAACAAGTTCACATCAAAGAAAGGAACAGATATGAGCTGCATTTTATTTATGTATTTATAATCAAAGACCACAATAGGAGTAAGAACCACATCAACCCTGGTGAGATAATTTAGTCTCACTACTTTTAATGAAGATGATTATGTGTCGAGTGTCTGTGATGGCGAAATTTCAGTTTCATTTGCGGCATTTTGTGCGTTGAGTTTCTGAAGAGATACTCAGCTACTCATCTGTGATGCGTGTTGCAGTAGCAGTGTCATTTCTGGCTATGACATGCCATATAGCCAATAAGACATTTTCACAATTTTTTTTTTTTTTTTTATCATTTTGGGAGATGTAAAATTTACATATATGGCTTAAACCAGTTGCATTTAAACTTGTCCAGTTTCGTTTGGACTGCGTCTCAAACCACCTCCTAAAGTAGTTTCAGAGGGCATTTATACACCTGGTCTTTTATACACTTGGACTCGAATAGCTATCTGATTAGACAAAACACATGAAGTGACCAGGTGTAAACAGGCCCTATACGTCTATATCGATCTGTCTATCTATCTCTGCCTATCGACATCTATCTATGCAAACTCTGCTTTGCTATTTTTCAAATTTCTTATATTTCTCAGAAAATACATGCAATTATGCATTAATGTTGATGTAGATGGTGGTTTGGTGAAGTAATGTTACCGTAGGCTTCCTCTATGAGACTGCCGTAAGGGTTGATGCCGCTGCCGTTCTGTTTGGCCTCCTGCTCGCCCAGTCTGAGAATGTTCTCCAGACCATTCAGAGCCACCAGCACTATCTTGGAGTCCATCACAGTCAACAGATCACAGAGAGGTTTAATGCAGCCCAAATTCACCAGATACCTATAGAAAAGAAGATGTTGAAAAGATAAGATACTTATTTTCTCATAAAAAAATAAACATCATAATTTAATTTTCCTTAGTCAGGGTTCCCACACCTTGGTTAACTTCAAATTCAAGGACCTTTCAAGGTCCAATACCCTCAAATTCAAGGACTTAATGTGGGGACACATTTCAAGTGAGAGCAAGGTTACATCGTGTTACCTTGTAGGATACATTGTTAGTTTTGCGCGCGTGAACGTCATGGCACCGTACAAAACAAAGTACCTCACGCGGAAAACACTTAACGTAACGCATAAATGCGCGTAACAAACGTAAATCAAGCAAGCTAGTATGCATAGGCCACGAAGTGTTGGCGAAATAACACATTAGCGGACCGGAGGGAATAATATGGAATCTTTTCCAAAAAATTTCTTGCACAAAATAGATACAGGTCCTTGAAAGTGCTTGAATTTATGTATTGTTTATTTTCAAAAACTTTCCAGGGCCTTGAAAAAAAAAAAAAATCAGATTCACAAACTTTCAAGGATTTCAAGGACCCGTGGGAACCCTGCTTAGTACAAATAACTGAAGATGACATTAGAAAAAGGGAATTGATGTTTGGCAAGCCATTCCCATCAAATCACTGCGTGAAACAGTTTGCATTGCGTCCTGTTGGAGCCTTAGCAGTTCCGCATCACAATCCGTACACGAAAACTCGCTTCCGGGCACGTAAAACATCAGTGCGATCCTTACCGGATTAGACCAATGAACTTTTGATGTGTCATTTACTGGGGGAGGGTCTTATCTTCGTTTCTTAGCTTTGATTGGTTTATTTTTGGCCTATGAAATGCTCATAAATGGTGATTTGCTTGAGGCTGTGCTGGGTGGGGAACTATGTTACGCGTCACAAGATTCCGTACAGTCATTGTTGGGAGCGTAACATGAAACCGTAACGGGGCATCATGATTGCCTCATCGTGCAGGGTGTCTTATAGTAGTTAGATTTCATTATGGCACAATTTACTTCACATTTGACTCTTTGGTTGACTTTAAAGTCCTTACATCGCTGATCTGCAAAATATTGTTAATAACGAAAAATGGCGCGTTCAGTCACCGCAGGTCGTTTCCAAGACCTCGTGAACATAGTTTTTAAACCGCCGTTTAAAACGGGGTTTTATTAACCTTATAACACACATTTTAGGTTAAAAATGTTCAACACCAATAACCATTACGTTTAACTTCAATACTATAGACCACATGACCGAAACTTCATTCATTTCATTTGCTGACTCTTTTCCCTCCTTCACCGGAGTCTACGCGAGATCCCTGCCCACCGCCATTTTTAAATATCACTCGGGTGTCATTGTACTTTCCGCTGAAATGTCGTCTTCAAAGGGCGTGGACTTCGACAATGCGTGAAGATCAAAGATGACAAAACACAGTTTCCAAAGGTATATATAACTTCATTTGACCTGGAAGTGATTCATTGTACATTTGATTCAAAGGGTCACTGTACGGATTCATGTTACGGAAGCGCCGCTGTACGGATTGTGATGCGGAACTGCTAATTGTCGAACTTCTGACTTGTAATGCTGCCCGAATCATACACTGTTCCTTCGTTGGGCAGAGGAGAACTGGCCCTCCGACTGAGTCTGGTTTCTCCCAAGGTTTTTTTTCTCCATTCTGTCACCTGATGGAGTTTTGGTTCCTTGCCACTGTTGCCTTGGCTTTTGGCTTGCTTAGCTGGGGAAATTTAATATTCAATAATATTATTGATCTGCCTTACTTAAGGTGGACGTTGATGCAATTTTCTTTTAGAAACAAACTTTATTGTATTATTTTCATGTTATCACTGTGAAGCTGCTTTGATACAATCTGTATTGTAAAAAGCGCTATATAAATAAAGGTGACTTGACTTCTACGGGGCTGTCATCTTGTTCTGGGTCTGATTCCGGTTCAAACTGATACGGTTGCACAGATGTGTCCTCAGAGACTCCTGCTGCCATTCTTTCTCCAAAATATACCCTCAACTGTTGTCAAGGCAACACTCCACGTGTGTTGTCAAAACGCCCCACAGAACAGAGGCGGGGTGACGTAGCTCATTATCATTTTAAGACGCATGCACTTAAACAGCGTGCTGAAAACAGAGCTGTTTTTGACCAGGTAAAATGAGTGTTTTCTTACAATACTAATGAGAATTTTTAATTAAAGTATATTACAAACTTTTCATTTAGACCCTAAAGAATCAAATTAACTTGTATGAAAATGCCATTATATGACCCGTTTAAAGGAGCTGCCCTTAAAAACTGATTATTTCAGACAGAGGGTCAGAATGAGGGTTGAAATTAAATAATCATTTTTCTAAATAAATTATATATGTATACATTGTTTCCGCTACATTCATTCTGCCGTAGTGGGCCACCACACCTAAAATCATCCCGCCACGGCTGCAGCTTCTCAGTGAGGTCCGATATTGTGCATACTATGTGTTATTGTTAAGCTAAAGGCATAAAAAACTTTGTAAAGCACCATAAAGTTTTCGCACTATATTCCAAGACTTCTAAAGTCATTCAATAGCATAATGTGAGGTAAAAATGTATATTTAAGTCATTAAGTTAAAGTTAATGGAAACTCATCTCTTCGCTTTGTGCTTTGAACTTTTCAATGCGAAGGGCTGCACGCTGTGACTTCACGTTGCTTCAAGTGCATCATTCTGCGCACGGAATGCGCATAATCGCTTTGCCGCTCTTATTGGAACCTTTCATGTTATAATGCTTAGGGGAGGTTAAACACCTGGGGTAAGGGGGCGTGGCCAATGGGAATATCACTCATGGGCCACGCCCCCTCCCCCTGGGGAAATGGGCCTGTCACCACGGCTGGAAAAAATCCTAGAGGAAACACTGACTGATTGAAAGGACAGGACTTCTCATTGGTCCACAGGCAGTTTCTGCCCTGCACCCATCTTGAGAGTTGAGACTAATCAACTAATAAGTTTAACCATAACAATTCCTGAAGGACCATTTGGATGAACAGTGGCTAAAACAAAGAATCCATACAAATCCATTCATTACCATGTTTGGAAACGTTAAAACAAATTAAGCCGTAAATGTTCAAATGAATGCATGCATGACAGTTCAATCTTTTCCCAATCTTGTTTGGACTTCTATATCCGTATACTTCTGTGTTTTATGCAAATGAGTTCCACAGGGGAAATAAGGATGGGCCACACTGTGTTTCCCCCTCTGATGCCAGCAGTCAATCACAGCACTAGAATGGAGAAGCGGCAAATTGCAATCTCCTCCTCATCGTAAAAAGATAAATGTACCCTTTCAACAGAAACTCCTAAAGCAGAGACATTAACATATACAGATTCCAGTCTGCAAAGATGAGACAAACAGATCAACAAATTCTGATTCTCCAGACCGTTACAGGGAATGCAGCAACAGACACAAGTTCTGAGTCTCCAGCATGCAAAGGTGAGACAGAAACAGATCAACAGGTTCTGAGTCTGGTGCCCTGTAATCTGAGAAGGAATCATCTGACACCCTCACGCTCACCTTAGGAGACGCAAATCATAAGTTATAACACCACCACATTTAATTAACACTGAAGTTTAAAACAAGACTCATACATTATAAATACGATTAGATGATATCTTAGAAGGGGTAAGTTGTTTGTGCTACACTTATACTAGAGGAAGCACTCAGTAAGTCATATTTAAAGGGATAGTTCATCCAAAAATGAAAATTAGCCCATGGTTTACTCAATGAAGCACTGTACTGGCTGCGGAAAAAATGCCGTAAGTGTATGTCTGATAAAAACTGAAACATTTGTTGTAAGTGTGCATAGTAATACATACTTTAAGCACACGGCTACTTCCAGACTATGTGATCTCACCAGACATCATGAAAACCACACTGCAATTCAATCTGGATAAACACATCACAAATACTCCCTAGTGAATCACTAAGATTAGCGCTTACGCTGTGCCATGTTAATGGCCATCTGAGAAAGACCAACTTGGCCAGATGAAGATTGTGGGAGCACTTTAAATGGGCTCCCATTCTAAACTTAAAGAATCCTGAGAATTTATTTCTGAGGTCAGCTCTAACTCCATTATATCTTGATGAGCCTGGAGCATGATCCTCATCAACCTGTCATGTGACTTGACAGCTCTAACTCCATTATATCTTGATGAGCCTGGAGCATGATCCTCATCAATTACCCACTTACACAAAAAGAGAATATCTGACAGACAAGTAAAGAGGGTAAATATGATATAAAAGTCACCAATAATAGGCTGGCAATTGGATAAATGACAAATTAGAGTCAACAATAAAGAAAAGTAATACAAAATGTTTTACTATAAAACACATCACGTTTTGTGTACTCTGTGTTCATGTTGGTTTCATACAGTTTTGAAAAACATTTATACAACCTTAGAAAAAAGGTTCAATATAGAACCCTAGGGCTCAAGACTCAATTCTCAAGAATCCTTTATGCCCTGTCTTCAATGACTGCACGTTACTTTCATGTTTAACAGGTTATTTCAATTATTCTAGTGATAAAGTACGTTTATGAGCCATTTACAAAATGTAATCTAAATAAAAAATAAATGAATTCAAACTAAATATGAAGTGGCTGACAGAACCTAAGCTTCTATATAGTAGAGGTGAGCGATATGAGCAAAAAATCATATCCCGATATTTTTCACTGTCCGGACAATATCGATATTATATTGCGATATGAGAAGAAAAAAAAATTGGAATCACATTTTAGTACACCTTAGTTAAATTACAGGCAAAATATGTATTTTAACCCTATAACTAGAAAAAGCTGAGGGATTTAATTGGACATAGACCTGAAAAATATTTTTTTATTGTCCCATTGTTTTTCTCAAAATGTGGAAACGTGCAAAATGAGGTAGGCCTGAATTCACTTGTTATCTCTTTCCACTTTTTATTTTGCGGGGGTCAAAATAATTCCTTCGCTAATAATTCATAAGATGAGTAACACTGGAGTTTGGTTTATTGAATACATTATAATCAATAAATATGAAGTAGTGTGATTCAGAGAGGTTTGACACTAAGGTCTAATTGAAGACAACATTATGTTAACAGAGAAGTTTTTGTATACTGACCAAAAGAGAGAAGTAGGCTACATACTGCTAATTCAGTGGTGAGAATTTAATTGTTGTTTTTATTTATATTGTTGTCCATTTATCGAACTTCCATACCTATTATATAGTAATTATATATTACTATGTATCAATTTACTAATGCTTGGACACACGCGGTCTCTCGCTGTCGCTCGCGGAGTTCGCTTCGCTTTTGTCCAGTCCGGCGCCTCATAGACAGACGCTGTGTGTGTGTGTGAGTGTGAGAGAGAGACGCATGAGTGATAGAGACGGAGTGACACTCTGTCACAGTGAAAGAGTGACAGAGAACGAATACACTGCGTGTTTTAAATAGCGTAAAAAAAAAAAATGAATACCGAAACGCATTATGTGGCGCGGCCGGTGTTGATACTGCGGTGCACCGCCACGAATTAGTCTGTGTGGGAAACACTGGACTTTTACCATGCTCTCTGTGTTTGATTATTATTGCCTGTGCATCACGCGAGTTGGACACAATAGAGTAAAAGGTTAAAGGGATAGTTCACTTTGAAATTAATTTTTGGTATGTTTTAGCTTACCTGAAGGGCATCCAAGATGTAGGTGTCTTTGTTTCCGCAGTAGTTTCAATTTTGATATTTTTATGTCAAACCGTTCTTGTCTGCCAGTCATATAATGCAGGTCTATGGTCTATGGTACACGCGCGAGAGATCACTTCCGGCGCTTTCCGGAAAAGACCGAACCACCGGCGCCGTCAGATCACTTGGACGTGGCTGTGGTTACAAGAGGTAAAAACGATATAAATACTGTTCGTTTTCTCACACAAACCGCTCGTTTCGTGTCTTAGGCCATCAATGTGTACTTACATTTACGAGTCATTAAATCAAGTTTAATTTGGACTTCTCTGTGCATGCTCTTTGAGGAAGTGACCGTAGACCTGCATTATATGACTGATAGGGGTGGGGGAAAAAATCGATTCTTAGATGCATCGCGATGCGGATGTGGACGATTCTGAATCGATTCACAATTGTCAAAAATCGATTTTCAAAAAAAAAAAAAAAAATTTAGATATATATTTATAATAACGTAATATTGATGGAACGCGAAAGACGGAACTCTGAAGCGCGGAAGTGCAGTGGCCGGACCGTCTGTGGCGTGCACATAACAGACGCGGACGCGATGGCTGAGCGCCAAATCCAAACACCCTCCTCGTTAAAAGCTGACGTGTGGAAATATTTTGGCTTCTGAAGTTGAAGGGGGAAAGGAGCTGGACAAGAGCCACACTAGTTGTAAGCTTTGTAGAGTAAAACTAAAATATTTCGGAAACAAGACACATATGAGAAGCCATATGACACGTTTCCAGCCAGAGGAGGAAAAACACTCGGCTGTAACGTTACCGGTCGTTGTTATATTATTAATTTACTACAAATATGCTGCTGCTAGTTCAGACACACATGTATTTTCCTGTTGGTTCTTTGCAATGTTAATAAAATATATTGTACGTTAATTCTTTATGGGTCATTACTTTGTACTTTTAAAGCAAAGTATTTATAGTCACACACACACAAAAAAAAGATTCTGATAATCGATTTAGCATCGAATCGCAGCCCTCTGAATCGTAATCGAATCGAATCGTGAGGTGCCTAGAGATTCCCACCCCTAATGACTGACAGACAAGAACGGGTTGACCTAAAAATATCAAAATTGAAACTACTGCGGAAACAAAGACACCTACATCTTGGATGCCCTTGAGGTAAGCTAAAACATACCAAAAATTAATTTCAAAGTGAACTATCCCTTTAAACTTTCAGTTCAGCCTCGATTTTGTTTCGTCATTAGTAGTGTTAAAAGTTGTAGAGACCAAATTGAACAAAACAATATAACTGCAAAATTTGAATTTATGAATATCTAACGGTATTCTCAGTATCGCAAAATCCATATCATGGTACAACATAATACCGGTAGTCACGTTCATACCGGTATAGCGCCCACCCCTACTATATAGAACCTTTTCTTCGAAGAGTGTAACAAATATTTAAACTGAATGACCCTAAAATGTCATGTGGTGTAACTATCAAGAAAAAAAAGTTAACATTTTACTTAGTGAATATATGCGAATGTACACCTCAATTATATAAAAAAAAACATTTCCATGGCATTTATTTTTAGGAAGTTGCACCACATGACATTTTACAACCTGAACTAACTTTACCTTGTCATAAAAAGGTCAAATTATCTGATATTTAAAGAGACTTATTGACTTTAACATCACCACTGCAAACCCTTATGACTGTGTCACTGACATCAACCCACTGATGTCACATGGACTACTTTGATGATGTTTTTATTACCTTTCTGGACAAGGACAGTATACCGTACATACATTTTCAATGGAGGGACAGAAAGCTCTCTCACTAAATCTAAAATATCTTAAACTGTGTTCTGAAGATGAACGGAGGTCTTACGGGCTTGGGACGACATGAGGGTGAGTCATTAATGACATCATTTTCATTTTTGGGTGAACTAACGCTTTAAGACGTGCCGTTTGAAAGCGGACACTCAGAGCTCACCTGATCTGCTCGGGTGTGCCACCTGACGTGGCATTAGTGATCGCCCATGCTGCCTCCTTCCTGGTGCGGAATTCTGCTTTCTGGAGGATTTCTATCAAGACCGGGAAGATGTTTGCATCTATAACAGCCTGTAGACGAAGATGACGGTGAGAAAAAGAACAGACAATTAAAGTCATCCTTATTTCCAAAAATAAATCCCAAGTCGACACTACAAACAAGTTCACTCCTTTGAAGGTTTGAGGGTGCAGCCGTAACCCTGTCGCACTTGATAAACAAGCTGAGCCCTCTGGGTAGCAGATGTGGAGTGTGGGTCAGGGTGTACCTGAATCTGTGCTCTGTTTCCTGCTGTGATGTTGGAGATGGTCCAGCACGCCTCCTTCCTGATGGATTCCTTGGCGCTACTGAGCAGGTGCAGGAGGCAGGGGAGAGCAGAGCAGTTCAACACCACCTAGGGCAGAGAAAAAGAGAGGATAAGGAGACTCATCCATCTCCAGTCCGAAACGAGAGATAATCATACATGATGATGAATAAACACATCTGTTCACACACAAACACACCTGCGTCTGAATGTCATCTCCTGTAACGATGTTTCCAACAGCCCTCAGAGAAGGAGAGGCCACCTTGTAATCGGTGTGCCTGCAAGAAAAGAGGAAATAGGTCATTTAGCAAACAGCTTAAACCAGTGATTCTCAACTTTCTTGACTCGTAGGCTCCCTGTTGCCCTACAACATATTTTTGTATTAACAAAAGTATTGATAAATGAATGAACCACATTTATGATTTAGCAGTTTCAAGAACTTTGTTTTTTCAATTAAAACTTTAATAAGAAATATGGTTTCAGTTCACATCTTGATTTGATATTTTTTTTATTATAAACAAACTATTAATTTAAAGCTGCAGTCAGTAACTTTTTGGGGGTTAAAAATTAACCAAAATAAATTTGAGCAAGTACATAACCAGCCAGTGTTCAAAACTATCAGCTTGCTTTAGCTCGATTCAAAACGGTAAGGTTGTAATAATGTTTTCATTCCAGTGGTACTGGTGGATTTCTGCAGGAGATTAGAGCATGTCTTTGCGTTATTACGTCACATCTGTACACATAAAGATGATGTCCCGGCTAGTAGGCTATATTGCATATGAGGATGTTGGAGGTGGAGATTTATAGCCTTTTCTCACAGCACTTGATATAATTAAACTTATCAATTTGATGGCGGATCCAGAAAAGTTCAAACGACAATCACCAGTGACAACTGTGTTTGTTTTAACGTTTCACCAGTTGTAAAATGCAAAAGACTTCGGACTTCGGAGTGGCTACAGAAAAAAAAGAGACTGGAACCAGGCCCATTTACATGGAAAAACAAGGATGAATATAGCTGCAAGCAGCCATTATCGGGGCATGCCAACATGGCTGGGGTGTCAGACCAACTGCAGCAAGGAGCAATTAAAGACATTTAAAGATGACTTTAGGCAAAATGGCTGAAAAATCATATACATTAACTAAAAATATGATTTAATGGATTATCACTTTCGACCAATAGGTGGCGCAGTTATAAAATGTATGTGGTGTGGTCAGAGTGAGGTGACAATGACACATACAAAGTTTGGTGTCAAAATGTCAAGGCATCAGAGATGGGACCAAGTCACACATGTGCAAGTCTCAAGTAAGTCTCAAGTCTTAACCTTCAAGTCTCAATTAAGTCCCAAGTATTTTTTTCCTGGGCAAGTCAAGTCAAGTCCTGTATTAGGTCAAGTCAAGTCCAAGTCAAGTCACCTTATTATTGTAAATTTACCTGCAGAATTTGATCTTTTCTAACCAGTTTGGTTTGAAATGAACAGAGGCGCATTTGGGTATAATGACACATTCATTCACTTTTCTCTTTCGCGCAGGTCATGTTTTGAAAGTCAGTGTCCTGTAGCTTACTAATTTAAAGAAATAAAAATGTATACAAAAATGTGATGTCCGACTACTTTTATGAAGAAGAAAGCCTTAAGTTTTCAAAAAGCATTAGACATATGACCCACTATTCTGCTTCGTGTATATATCAATGAATTCAAACGTGCGTTGGCTGGCACTGAGCCAGAGACATACGCTCTCAGTGCTGTCATACATAACAACTGATCAGTGTTTTCAACCACATAATTTTTATTTTAGGTTTCAGACATTTAAATACACATAAGTAGGCCTACTAGCAAAAAAAATTACACACTGATGTCTATGGAAGCGTCAGTAATAATCCTTTCCATTATAATAAGACGACACGTTTTATTCATATCCGATACACATTGTGTAAATGGCTTTACATTTTACACTATTCTTCTCCCAGTTCACCGGTCACTTACTTTCATGTATTTTGTGAGAAGTTGAGAAATTGACGTGTTGTAAACTAACATGGCGCCGCCCATTCGCACATACAGCTCAACTATGCGATGTTATACAGGCATTTACAGGGTATATGCAGGAATCTTGAAGTTAATTTTAATACCTTTTCAAGACTTTTTCAAGACCTTCTCAATATTTTTTAATACCTCGCTGCCACTTCAAGCTGTAACCATTTACATCAGTGATACTTTTAACTTAACAGTTTTAGTTTGTGATAAAGACTATAGACCACTCTGATAAAAAAATAAAATAAAATAGGCTGGGATAGTAAATCAAAGCAAAGTTTATTAAAAAACGAAACAAAACTTTGCTCCACCCTCAACAACAATCATGCTGACATGTGCCTCAGTTCTTCGTTTTGAAAAAAAAAAAAAAAATTCTAAATTCACACACTTTTACGATGTTTTTGGGACTCAAACTGTTGGACAGCTAATTCAGAAAAAATTAGGGATGCACCGAAATGAAAATTCTTGGCCGAAACCGAAAAAAGAGGAACCCAAGGCCGAAAAAACGAAAACCGAAACACCGAAAGAAATTATGCCAATTATAAGTACCATTGCATTTATGGTTATGACTGTGTACAAACTTTACTAAAATCAAGGCATTGCAATTGCATAAATTAACATTTTCAAAGAATAAATCAATTACAAATTATGCAAATATTTATTTAGCACAATGCACAGTATAAAATAAAATTCAAACTAAAATGTTTAACTTGACCCCACTCATGTGTACATTAAATAATAATCTGCTGGCCTGCAGAAAGGTTTTAAAATGGAATGTTCTCTCATAAAAACAAAGCCGAGCACGAACTTCTCATCACACCAGCACCCAGTTTGCACGTCTAAATTAGTTGATAACATTTTAAAAATGAGCATACACTAGCATAAAAAGCCATTTTAATGAACAAAGGTCCATGTTTAATACAAATGTACACGAAACTTAATGAAATATGTTTAGTGAAATTAGAAAATATTTAAGAGAGCTTTAATTTAGAACATATTCCAGTACATATTTTGTTGTAATGTCACAAGTAATAATCTCAGGGTTTACTGGGTTTTACATGATTATTTTTGTATTGGTGGTGGTACTAAAACATAAACATTGTCACGTGTTTATCTTTCTTCTTCTCACCGATTCCTGATGGTTAGAGGACAGTTACTTGAGTCGTCCCCTGTCGTTTCAAAGAATAGTACAACGGCGAGCGCGTCAAGTATAAACGCCTCGCTCGACCGTTTGGAGCGGTGCGCGCGCTGTCTGTGGAGACGCGCGCTGCGGAGGCAGGCGAAAGTATAAACAAGGCTTCCGTCTCCTCGCGGGTTCAGATATACTGAAATACGTCCACACCGCAGACATGTTGCTTCAGACAAGCACGTGCAGGTCGCGGTTTCGGTTTGCGTCATCACAACATTTCGTTTCGGTGATAAAAGTCTTTCGGCCGAAAACCGAAAATGCACTTTTGGGCTATTTTCGGCGGCCGAATATTCGGTGCATCCCTAGAAAAAATACTTTCAAAATTTAAGACTTTATAAAGCCGTGATAAGACTTTTTAATACTTTTTAAGGGTCTTAATTTTCCCAAAATTGATTTATCACCTTTTAATACTTTTCAAGACCCCGCGGATACCCTGATTTAAACAACAAAACACATCCACTTCCACATATTTGACAATCGGAATATCAGTGTTTCATGTTATAGCTAATACATTTGTGAACATTTTTGAATAAAACAGGAAAAATTACATAAAAGCAGATCATCATTCATTCAGCGCTGTGTTATGGTTGCGCTGTGTCACGTGACAAGCAATGACGCGTCACCATGGAAACATTAAAGTGAGTGACAGGTTCTAAATAACGGTCGCCTAGAAAACCTCACGCTGGGGGATCAGTTAGAATAGTTTAAAATTACTTGTGAAAGGGTTATGGCTACTTTAGCTATTATTACATTAGCTAACTACCAACTAACCAGATAACATTAACAAATTGACAAGCACTTACTGGGCAGAATGGCTCTTCAAATGATGGACGAAATTTGAGGTTGTCGTCTGCCTGCCCGCAATGTTAATGTTGCATGTCTTGCAAAGCGCTGTTCGTCTTTTGCCATCTTGTGAATAATTCTTGAAGCCGAAAGCGATGACCCTCGGTACCCCTCCGGCTGACATTTTGATGTGATGTCTAAGTGGGCGTGGTGTGCGTAAGGTACGAGAGGGCATGACTGATGATAGTGTCGTGATCCAGTCATGACAACGCTATTCTCAGCCTGCGCTCCAGCTGGATCAACTTGTTTGTTTTTTAAATAATTTATATATTTTATATTCAAACTGAAAACATGATGTGATTAACACTCAAGTCATTCAAGTCATCGTGTCTCAAGTCAAGTCAAGTCCCGAGTCTTTAACTTCCAAGTCCGAGTCAAGTCTCAAGTATTTCATTTTATGTCAAGTCAAGTCATAAAAATAGCGACTCGAGTCGACTCGAGTCCAAGTCACCAAGTCACAAGTCCCCATGTCTGCAAGGCATTGCAGAGATAAAGCCTGAATAGTCAATTTGACAGCATGCCTCAACTTTGATGCTGCAGTATACAAAAACGGTTTTGTCTATCGTCATGAAATCCATATCTTTTAGCAGGCACGGTCTGGAGATGATACGATTCGATTTTGGTGAAAATTGGACAAACGGTCTAGAAGTTCGAAAAAGTAGGTTTTAAAGAAAATAAAGATGGCAGACAGGAAGTTTGGCTGACTATGGCAAAGTTGATATCTATGTTTTTGGCATAACCCAAGGAATCTATTAAGACCAGTGTCATTACAATAGGCAAATTTATTCAAAAGCTATTAGCATTTTTGGAAATTTCATTATAAATGTTATACCACAAGGTGGCGCTGCCCCGATTTTTTTTGTTTTCATAATCTTTTGGACTTGCAATATAGCAATTATGATGCTTTTTTTCTCTTGTTTATTTCCCCCTCAAGCTTGACTGGCACTGGTTGTGAAAAAAAATGCTATTGTTGTATGTAAAAATATTAGCATAAATAATTTTCTACTATTTTTCTAGATGTTTTGTTATACTATCCTGTTTTTTTTATTATACAATCAAATAAAGTGGATTTATTTAAGTCCTCACTCGACATCCTTCATTATGTCCTGCTGAATATTCAGTTTCACTATGAAATATGTCCTTATAAAACTTACAAGTGTATTAGTTTCATGTTGACTTTAAATATGACCTAGAAATGACAATGTAGTCATAACAGCTGACTCACATGAGCAGCTCCACCAGCCTCCTGCAGACCCCTGAATCAATAACTGCCTGGATCTTCTCATTGGGCCCATCAGAGAGATAGGAGAGGGCCCAACAGGCATCAGCCAGCAGGTCTGAATCACTGCTGAACAAAAGACGGGACAGCACAGGCAGGCATGGAGACACCTACAAGAGCAAAAGATTAAGAGAAAATATGCCACTTAGCCTCTGAAATGATGAAAAAATGCGCACTGACATTAAAGACGTGTGTGTGTGTGTAGCGCTTCTGTGTTGTATGTCACACGCATCACACACGACCAGCGTCAGACAATAGTGAGCCTACATTCTGACGTACAACACAGAAGTGCTGCGCTGTTACACTACGTGGACTCACTCAGAGGCCCACAGAGAAGAAAATGAATAGTTGAATAAAGTCGTTATTTTTGGGGGGTTTGCGCACAAAAAGTATTTTCTTCGCTTGATAAACTTAAGGTTGAGCCACTGTAGTCACTTGGACTATTTTAACTATGTTTTTACCAACTTTTCTGGGCCGGCAAGTTTCAATAACAAAGAAGTCTATGGAGGATTGATCCAGCTCTCAGATTTAATCAAAAATATCTTAATTTGTGTTCCGAAGATGAACGAAAGTCTTAAGGGGTTGGAACAACATGAGGGTGAGTAATTACTGACAGAATTTTCATTTTTGGGTGAACTAACCCTTTGATGTACACTACCATTCAAAAGTTTGGGGTCGGTCATTTTTTTAAATTTTTTATTTTTTCAAAGTAGTCTCTTATGCTCACCACGGCCGCATTAATTTTATGTAAATGTAATTTACTCCTGTGGTGGCAACGCTGACTTTCAGCATCATTACTCCAGTCTTCAGTGTCACACGATCCTTCAGAAATCATTCTAATATAATGATTTGCTGCTCAAGAAATATTTCTGATTATTATCAATGTTGAAAAAAAATTGTGGAAACGAATCTTTACTGTTACTTTACTGTCACTTTTGATCAATCCTCACTCAATAAAAGTTAGATAAAAAAAAATCCATTTTATTGATCCATGGCACATGCATTTAGTTTCTTTATATGCAGGCCAATGTTATCCAATGACTTATTTAGGTATTTTATTTTTTGTTAGGCAATAGATTTTTTGATAACACTTTACAATGAGGTCTCATTTGTTAATGCATTAACTAACAGAGAGCAATAGCCTTTGTTATTGTTATAATAAAATATGTGTGTTCATGTTAGTTCACAGTGCATTGACTAATGTTAACAGATACAACTTTCTTAAAAATGTCTTATAAAATGTTTGGTTCATGCTAACTAATGCTAACAAAATTAAACCTTATTATAGTGTTACCATTTTTTAATAAAGAAAGTTGCCCAGTGTAAAATTAATTTTAAAAGTTAAGTAGGGGTGGGCGCTATACCGGTATGACCGGTATTATGTTGTGCCATGATATGGATTTTGCGATACCGAGGATACCGTATTCATAAATTCAAATTTTGCAGTTATATTGTTTTGTTCAATTTGGTACTCTTTACAACTGTTAACACTAATGACGATACAGAATCGAATACGCTGTTTAAGGAAACGGCTGATTTGGCGCTTCATACGCGTGAAGTTGCTGAGGCGATTAACCGCTGTCCTGTGACGCGTTCAATGAAGGACCGTAACGTAGAACACATCGCTAGTGCTAAGCGGCTGTTCATAAAGGAAGCAACTTTTGCGGTGGAATGGGAAATAACAAGGTAATGAGACGCAAGTTTGACTTTTAACTTGAGCGCAGCATTTTTAGAATGCCGTTTCATTTGCGAGATGCGGGTGCAACACCAAAACAAGTTCGTCAAGCACAAAAAAACGTTAAAGTTCTAGGCTACTGTATGTTTGAGATATCATGTTTTCATGCAGGTTGAAAGGCTGAAAGCTGCTATTATTATCTTTGTTTTTACAAAACATTTACTGCTAATAATATTATCCACGTGGAGACATTTCCCCGCAATGTACGTTAGGCTATGAATAACAGGACACGACACACACATAAGCGCGCATACACACGACACACACATGAGCGCGTGCATACACACATACTGGTCCACTATCTTTGTGGGGACTCTCCATAGACGTAATGGGTTTTATACTGTACAAACTGTAGGCCTATATTCTGTCTCCTTACCCTAATGAATTAGTTTGTATGAAAATTTTCATTGTTTTTTTCTTGTATACTTTTAAGTTCTATTTATTTGGTGCTTTGTTCAATCTCAAACCATTATTTTATTTTTATTATTAAGATGTCTTCACAAGAGTTAACTGTAATCTGTGCAAACATTAAACTTAAATTAAACGTCTCGCTTTGGTCTACACTGGAAGTGTTCTGCTCGCTCTGCTAAAGCTAAACTATAATTACTAAAACTGAAACTAAATAAAATAAAAACTATATAGAAATGTGTTTGCAAAATAAAAACTAAATAAAAACTAACAAAAACTAAACTGAAATTTAAAGCGAAAATTGAAAACGATATTAAAATAAAAACTAATTTAAAAAAGCAAAACTATAACACTCAGAAATCAATAAAGTCTTCATTCGCTGCCGGTTCTCATTATGACAAGACGAGCAAAAAGTGGAAAGACATAACAAGTGCATTCAAGCCTACCTCATGTTGCACGTTTGCACTTTTTGAGAGAAAAAAAAAAACATTTCAGGTCTATGTCCGATGAAATGCCTCACCTTTTTTCTAGTTATCTAGTGTTAAAATACATATTCTGCCTGTAATTTAACTAAGGTGTACTAAAATGTGATTCCAATTTTTTTTCTTATATCGCGATATAATATCGATATCGTCCGGACAGTGAAAAATATCGTGATATGAATTTTTGCTCATATCGCCCACCCCTAAAGTTAAGGAATTCAAACTAGGCTATCCTGTATTGTATATGTTTGATTTATGTTAAAAGTGTTTGAGACAAGGCTTTTAATGGTGAGCCTTTTGTTTATGTATTCAGGCTATCAAAGTATATAAAAAATTTAATTTAGATTTATCGGCCAATATATCGGTTATCGGCTTTCAAATGTAAAGAATTATCGGTTATCGGTATCGGCCAAAATGTTAATATCGGTGCATCCCTAAAATAAATAGTAAAAAAGTATTTGAGATTACAGTAAAATAACGGTTTTCTATTTTAATATACAATTAATATAAATGTAATTTACTCCTGTGGTGGCAACGCTGACTTTTCAGCATCATTACTCCAGTCTTCAGTGTCACACGATCCTTCAGAAATCATTCTAATATAATGATTTGCTGCTCAAGAAATATTTCTGATTATTATCAATGTTGAAAAAAAATTGTGGAAACGAATCTTTACTGTTACTTTTGATCAATCCTCACTCAATAAATGTTAGATAAAAAAAAATAAAAAAAGACTGACCCCCAAACATTTGAACCGTAGTGTATAAACAAATATCTAATAAATGTATACATTATATCAAAATGCAATGTTGCATTCGAGTCAGTTTAGTAAGGTGTTTTGGGTAGTTGCCAGGACACTGTTCTGGGTTACTTCCTGGCTCTAGGACATATTAAAGAAACTATAGAAACCATGGTATTAGGGGTGTAACGGTACATGTATTCGTATTGAACCGTTTCGGTTCGAGGCTTCCGGTTCGGTACACATACAAACCGAACGATTCCTTGGACCATTTTTCCTGCCGACAAAATTCGCGCTGGCGCGATCATCACAACGTTGCGCAACATCAAATGGCAAGCGTAATGAAACCGGAACGAAACTGCGCTACTGTGCTTTACGGATCGTTTATCAGTTCGGAGCAGAGCAGCAACATCAGTGCAGCGCGAGCCGATCTCGATCAAGCGACACTGTTACAACCGTTACAACACAGCGCTAAGAGATCCAGTAAAGAAAACATTTGAGTTCGCCACTGAAGTAATAACATCGCTGCGAGATCTAGTGAGAAGCATTCAAATTTCTCCGTTATTAACCGTAGATCTCTAGATCAAACAGCACTGACGTGGACACCAGGAGAAATATTGTGCCGTGAATGAACTAGTTATACTTTACGTCCACAGACCAGCAACATTCACCATGGATTTAATATAGTAACACTAACTGTAACCAGTTTGGCTGGAATAGTGAAATGCTTTCAAGTACTTCACTTATAAATATTATATAAATAAATATATGAAGAGTTCAGATGCAAAAGCCTCTATAAGTGCCATTTGAAATTTTCTTCTAGAAATTAGAATGATCATTTTTAGCTTGTATATTTAAAAATAACATTTAAATATATGAAGAGTTTAGATGCAAAAGCCATTTGAAATTTTCTTAGAATGATCATTTTTATCAAGCTTGTATATTTAAGTTCAGTAATTTCACTCAAATGACAATTAATAGGCAATCTTCATTGCCATTTAAGTGAAATTACTGAACTTAAATATACAAGCTTGATAAAAATGATCATTCTAAGAAAATTTCAAATGGCTTTTGCATCTAAACTCTTCATATATTTAAATGTTATTTTTAATGTGATGACCAAAACATTATTTGTTCATCCTTCAAATATGACCCCCATTTATAAACCTGAAAGTTTCAAGATGTAGGAAAACTCACTTATTTAAAAAATATTTTTTCTTTTAACAAATAGGAAAGTTCTCTGGTATTTCTTACTTTTTGCTGTATCGAAAACGTACCGAACCGTGACTTTAAAACCGAGGTACGTACCGAACCGTGATTTTTGTGTACCGTTACACCCCTACATGGTATTGTCATTTTCTTTTAGTATCACCTTGGTACTCATTTGCTGGTATTTCTGACACCTTTATCAGCCTGTAAAGTGTCCAGTATCTTCTTAAACATAAGGAAAATAAGAGTGTTGTCAAGTGTCAGAGAAGCAGTACAGACCTTCTCAAAGTCTGGGGGTGGACTTTTGCCTCTGCAGAGGTTGGACAAGGCCCACACAGCATTCCTGGTCATTGTAAGACGAGTTGATTTGGTCAGCAGCCTGGGGGAAATAAGTATCATCGAGAAAACAATCAATCCTCATATTCAGCACAAAAATGTTTGTTTCTTCTGCAGAGGATGTTAATTAAATTCACTGTTTGGTCAGATAAACACTAGTATTGTGATCTCATGTTAGCACTCACATTAGTAGAGGTGGAAGGATATTACAGTTTAGCACATAATCTCTGCACACAGCGCTGTCTCCCGCAATGTTCCCCAAAGCCCAAACAGCCTGTGACACAAAGATTCATCAATTTACCCACATGGGATTCTTACTCATTTAGCACAAACAAAACAAGGTGACTTATCCTTTGCAACTTTATAACTCGAACCTGCTCCTGTACGTCTTCAAACTCTGAGTTGAGAAGCTCGATAAAGACAGGAACGGCACCGGCCTCTATCACAAACTTTGTTTGCTGAGATGTTCCAGATGCGATGTTGGTCAGTGCCCAAGCAGCCTCAAACTGAGAGGGGGAAAAACACACACATATTCAAGGACCTGACTTTAGAATTTAAAATTACAAGAAAAATGTATTCATATTTCATTCAATCCCACCTGTAATGTGCAATTTGTACTTTTCTGAAGGAACTCAACAAATCTATTCACAACTCCCTGTGTGCTTATCACCTCGTCGATAGGTGGGTTTGGTTCTGAAAAACACAAAGATGGATTTATTAAAACTCCAGCATGCTTTTAAGCAACTCCAGACATGTGATTGGGTAAGATACCTTTGGAAAGTAGTTTTCTGAACCTCTGTGTTGTGACCAGCTGTAGTTCAGGATCTTCTGAGAAGAGCATTTCAACCATGTCTCTTGTAATTACTCCATCCTAAAAAACACATAGGACAAACTCGGTCTAGATCAATGACCGTAATTTGTTTTCAGTCCAGGTTTGCACCTCTGAAGTCCAAAATCAATAGTGCTTATTGAATTAAGGGGTCATAATGCACTACTAACAACAATCCCAGAGTTACCTCACCCATAAGTGATATAATGGGAGAAAGCAAATTGTGCATTTGGGTTTGAACTCACTGGGGCTGTGGTGGAGGAGACATAGCTATCCATGAGTGGACTGTCAAACATTCCCCCTTCTTCACCTAGCAGCTCCACATTTCTCCTCTTAAACAGCTGCCAAGAGAAATAGAGAGAATCAATGGTGCAAATTGCATCAATTGATGTGACAGTTAAAGTTAACGTGAGACAGCATTCATAAGCCATTTAAATTCTGTAACGTGAAGCATTTCAGGAAGCAACAGGATAGTCAATGAGGGGGAAAAAAACATGTAGGATGGGACTAGGGCTGCAACAACTAATCGGAAAAATCGATAATGAAAATAAGAAAGAAATGTCACCTGTTGCTCTCGTTTCTGTTTCCTCAGCTGAATGCCTTCCTCCTCTCTTCTTCGACGCATCTCATCCAGGTTGAGTGCTTTGTTCTTATAGCGGTTCATCCTGAAGTTATCCTTCGCAGGACTTCCTGAAGGCTCTGCAGGGCAAGACGAGTCAGAAACAGGTTACAGACAACTCCAGACACAACAGACAATTACATGACAAGAAATCAAATTTGCCTTGATCTTTTGATATACAAGAGGTAGGGATGGGACGGTATGGTATGAAAATTTCATACCACGATTATAGTGACCAAAATTATCGTGATTATCAATATTTTCACGGTTTTGTTAAAACAAGATGAAAGTGTTAAAAAAGAACTGATGCTCACACTGAAAACATTTCAAAAAGTTTTATATTTGAAAATCAACAAACAACAAATAAAACAGCAGCTCTATGCACTTTTTAAAGCAAGATTCTATTCTGTGGAATTTCCTTCCTTATAATGACCGTCGCCAATAGCAATGCATAATACCACAGCACACATCCATGCATCACAACGGACGCGTCATTTCATTCAAATAAAACTTGCCGTCTTGCGTCTCCATTTTTGATTGTAAATAATAAATCAACTCTGATTTCCTTTTCAATACAGAGTTTGATAATATTGTTGTGATCATCTTGTCTGGGCTAGTTAATCTCAATTCAATATGTCCCGTCCCGTAATTATGCAGTAAAAAAAAAAGTTTTTTATGCGGTTTGGGGGCGGGGTTTGGGGGTTAGTGCGCGGATGAGGAAGAGGGAGGGGCTAGCTAGCCTCCGTTTAGTTTGACAATACTTTAAACGTCAACAACAAGTGACGTCACCCGACATCGCTTACAGTTGAACTGGCTCAAAACCACTTGCTGCGAACTTTTCTTCGCGAAAGCTTCACGTTTATTTCAAGTGAGTGAGATCAAATATTTTCAACTCAAAACAACATTTTGTGCGCAATAATTTCCCAGACGTAGTGGTCACGCAAGACTCAGCAGATTTGAAGTGTTTCCCACTATTGCAGAGACTTTATGTTTCAGCGTGTGACGGGGACCATCCTCCATTAGTTTCCCTCAGGAGTTTGTAAAAGCCTAAATATAAACACACCTCAGATTTGGTCCTCTTAAAAGGCTGATATCTCTCGATCATGGTCACTGCCTTCAGCTATTCCTGCTCGAATTTTATAAAAAAAAAAAACATTGCGTGGCTGCGTGAGACTGTTGCTTGCTGGCTGGACAGCATGGGAGTTATTAAAATTGCGATAATCAAACACGGTTTTAATGATAATTAAATTTTAAACAATATTACTAACCGTCAGTACATTTTATCGTGGTTTATAGTGAAACCGGTAATCGTCCCATTCCTAACAAGAGGTCTTCGCACCATAAAAACATCCTGCAAGCTCCAAAAACTGCTCGTTTGGATATTGTGGGATCTGTGACGTCACACAAGCAAATGCATTTGCATATGCCTGCCCCCAGAGCAAGACATTGACAAATAGATTTATTTATACATCATCGCACCATTGGCCCCGCCCACTGGCATTCATTTGCTTAACGGCTGACAATTGCCTACACTGGATGGGAGTGTTGCACCAAAATCAAATAGAATCCATTATACTCACTGAGGCGGTCTACACTAGATAGAGTACACAGATGCCCGCTCACTTTACGTGTGCTGAAAAAAGTCCTGTTTTAAAACAGCTCATTTGAGTCTCTGTACAGACCACAGGATACTAGCGCCAGGAACAATTGGATTGTTTATTTGTAATGGTATCCTGGATCGCTTCAGAGGGTTATATGTTGTTCAGAGAATTTGACTGCAGATTGTTTTGTAAACGGGACACAGAAAAGTTGACAAAGAAACTTTTGTTGAAAAATGAAGCAGCCAACAGTATTATTGGATGTGACAGCAGCTACATCACAAATCTTAAGCAAATTACATCATAATGCCTTGGGTGTAAACGACGGTTTTATAAGGATAATGTTTTCAAAACACTTATGTGCAATAGCAAGTGGGCGTGGATGCTGTTTTCTATGCAATGATGTTAGTCAATCCTTATAGGAGCCGCCCCTTAAAAATGGATTATTTCAGACAAAGGGTCAGAATGAGGGTTGAAAAGAACCTCTGCCTGAACGTCTGCATATGGCACACTTTTCTGGAAACACTTCAGGAGTTTTGAAGTCGCGGATGTCCGTGGGACGTGTGTGTCGTGTTCTTTAACGGTCTGCCTGGAAACAAATGCTGTGACGCCAAAACCTATCGTGGAAGAAAGAGTTGTGTTTACAACCGTGACAATAAGCACTTACCAGGATCAACTAAACTGGATTTTCAAAGGTATGTGAAGTTCGCAGTAGGGGTCGACCGATATGTGATTTTCAGGGCCGATGCCGATACTGATTATTACAGATCAAGTAGACCGATAACCGATATTTTGAACCGATATATAGCCTGTCTGGTGTAAAAATGTAAGTTAATGTCAAAATTAAGAATAACAAAGGGTTTTGACAAATACTTTCATTAAATGATTTTAAACATATCTTTAAATCTGAGAACTGTTAATAATAACATTATTAATAATAATAATAATAACAAAAAAAAAATGTACAGGGAGCACCCAGCAGCATTCTGTAAACATTTTGTAAAACTTAAAGACTTTATTTTAATGGTTAAATTAAACTTTAGTCATCAAAAAGCATTTCTAATTAATTGAAATCATCAAACCCATTCAATTTATTTACAGTTTAACAAAAATGACATTTTTAGGGCCCTATGAAAAACCGAACTTTTATTTTGACGGGTTGCCGTGGAGATCTTTGAGTTTCTGTGTGTTTATGATATGACGATAACTTTTCTCAGTTGAAGCATTAAAAAGCTCATGAAGTGACTAATCGGCTCTGGAGATGATGTTTATGCAATCATGTCTTCATATAATGATGCGGCTGAGGCTGAAAACAGCGCAAGCATTAGGCCTACGCGTGCTCCAGTGTGTGTGGTAAATGAAATCAGGCGTCTGCGCCATTCATTTAGAGACACGCAGGATTCATATTTAAATAACGTTAATCTTTTTGCGGTTTGACATTCGATTTGATTTGTACTGACCTGCTTTTTATTATTTCACCAAGTTGACAAATTCCGTGACATTCCGTTTTATACAGTAAATTCTGTTTTTATGACTGGATTCCGCGATTCCGTCTGTGTTTTCTGCATTGCGGAAATCACAGGGCCCTATTATATTGAGGTGTTTTGCAACTTCAGTGTAGTAATTTATTGCTACTTCAGCAAAATCTGCTGCTGCCTTAACTTTGAGAGACAACTGATGATCAGTGAATCAGCTCCAGTCAGCAAGTGCTTTCGGTGTGAGAGTGCAAAACTTTCAGTGCCTTCAGCTTTCCGCGCTGATTGGCCGGACTCGTCACTCCCAACAAATCAGATTGTCGGGGACATTGGTCTAGTGCTAGTCTACAGAGTGGTGAGTTCTGACAGAGGTGGCTGCATCAGAGCCAAATATAGCACATTTCAAAATTAAATTATTTTATCGGCAAATCGGTTTTGAAAATGGCCGATACCGATAACCATAAAAATGCTCAATATCGGCGCCGTCGACCCCTAGTTCGCAGCTCCATTGTTGCAGTAAACTTGCACAACGTTCTTGAATGAATAATTTATTAGATGCACGCCGGTCTGTTATTGTAGGGGCATCGACATTATATTGTCATGCCCCTAAACATGACGCGGAAACAAAACGAACCGTGATTGGTTGCGTTACATGTCAGTCAAACGTCCTCTTGGCCAAGAAAAACTGCAATAAAGTCCAAGTCCTTACGCGAGACTAAGGTCGTTTTCACACCTGAAAGTCCGCACCAAGGTCCGAACCAAAGTTCACGTTTTGATACATTTTATACTTTCAGAAAGTTTTGGTTTGGTTTCACACTGCAATTATGCAAGCGCACTAAAGAACTTTACGTGACATACTTGCGTCCTGTCGTCAAAGTAATAAATATTTCTTGAGCACCAAACCAGCATATTATAATAAATTAATTACATTTTTAAATACATTAAAGTAGAAAACAGTTATTTTAAACTGTAGTAATATTTGACAATACTTCACAGCTTTTACGATCAAATAATTGCAGCCGATTGAAGAAGAAAAAAAAAAAGTATAGTCCTCAAACTTTTGAATGACATACAACAAACTTCTTGTACCAGTCAAATGAGAATAAAGAGCTTGATTCGAACTCTTCATCCCAATTTGCAGATGGCCAAGTACTTATCGGTCAATGAGTTGCTAGTGAGGAAAGTATGAGCGCAAGACCTGCACAAACTGTCTGCTGTGGACAAAGAAGATGCATGTATTTGGGCATTTTGACGGGAAAAACAAAACAGCTATGACAATTTCAATTAGTGTGCCATCTGCAAGAGCGCAAATGTCGTCAATAACGAGACTAAAATGGATGTGGAAGTGCGTAGCTTATTAAACCCCTTCCTTTCAAAATATAACAATGACTGCTGGAGAAATTGTTCAGCAGTCTCAGCAGCTATCTCCAGCTTCATTACTCACTTTGGTCTGTTTGTGCTGAGCACAACACACTTGAACAGAGCCACCCGGAGTCAGTGAGCAAACCCACTTTTATTGAGGGTGTCTAAACACTGTTTGCATGAGCAAGCAGCTAAAGCAGCCTGTCTCAGCATTTGTGTGGCACTAAGAGCAGAGGAGGCTACGAATGATGACTGGCTAATACAACCGAATGCACATCAGGGCGCTAACAAACAAAGTGCCCAAGGGTACAGTTGCTGATCTTGGATTCGCTCCCATCCTTTCTGTAAGATCTTATTGTACAGTGTCTCAAAGGAGGAAAATAACACAAAATCAGCATTGGCACCACATGAAGACCTCCATAACCTTCAGTCAGTAAATCTGCAGTTCTGGAACAGAGAACTACCACAAGTATCAGCTTGACTGCTGTTGTTAGAAATGAGTCTCCCTGATGGGTGAGGTTTTGGGTGAGGCCGCCTTCTTCACAACATATGGAAGGATGCATTTCAATTGAGCTCCTCAGGAGCAATATAGGCCATGGTTTAAAGAGAATAGTTCACCCAAAAACTACATTCGTCATCATTCACTGTTGTTCCAAACTCTCCATGAGAGTAAGAACTTTTGAATAATCTACATGACCGTTAAAAAGTTTAGGGCTGGTAAGATTTTTTTTTTAAAAAATTAAAAGTCTCTTATTCGCATCAAGGTTGAATTTAATAATAAATAAATAAAAACAGTAAAAAAAATATTGTGAAATATTAATATACAATAAAAAAATGTTATTAATATATAAATCTTTATATTTCTATTTTAATATTTTTTAATGTATTTAAAAATATATTTCTGTGATGGCAAAGCTGAATTTTCAGCAATATTAGTCTTCAACATCACATCTTTCACAAATCATTCTAATATGTTGATTTGGTGTTCAAGAAACATTTCTTATTATTATCGATGTTGAAAACAGTTGTGCTCAATGTGCCGCTTAATATTTTTGTGGAAACCCAAATTTGATTCTTTGAATAGAAAGTTCAAAAGAACAGCAATTATTTTAAATAGTAAAGACATTTGTACTTATAAAAAAATTCTGTCACTTTTGATCAATTAATTTAATGTGTGCTTGCAGAATAAAAGTATTAATTTCATTCATTCATTACAAAAAAAAAAAAAAAATCATACTAATCCCACATTTTTGAACAGTGGTGTAACTGGTTGCTTCCCCCCCCAACTAACTAAAATAAATGGGCTGTAAGTACTTCAGCTTCACAAACACAAAACAAAATCATAACCAGACCATTGAGTCATCACAAACTTAAGAACCTGATCAGTCAAATGAATCATTCAGGACAGATCACTGAAAAGAACAAAAGAATGTTTTGTTCATAAATCAGAATCAATAAATCACAAATTCTCTCATTAACATAAGGAGAGCAATGGCAAATGTCAAGATTTGAATAACTCATTGTTTGTCAGTTCCTCAAAAGAAGGCTAACATGCAACTTCAAAACACTTGGAATATAGCGTCCGAATCATATGGACCACTTTAAATTTTTTTGACAGCCCCAGTCCCGATTCACTTTCATTATATTGGGTAAAGTTGCCAGGATGTTCTTCTGCCCCATGTAAGGAACGAGATCATATGGGTCTGGAACAACATGAGGATGAGTTGGCTGTTCTTTTTTTGATTAACTGTCCCTTTAAGAAGAGAAAGAACATCATAACGACTAACAAATTTAGAGGGGATGACAAGCAGGCTGTGGCTCAACCCGACTCAAGCGCTCCATGACATAGTTGCCCATCACATGGGCCTCACAAATAGCAGTGTGGGCTGGGCCCCTGTCGCAAAACTATTTTAAAGGACTGTGTTTGCTATGGCTTAAAGACGCAGCACTAGAGACAGACAGCAGACGGGCTCAGAACATAGACTATCCAAAGGTTAAAGGGATAATTCACCCAAAAATAAATTCTGTCATTAATTACTCACCCTCACATCGTTCAAAACCCATAAGACTTTCGTTCATCTTCGGAACACAAAAGAAAATATTTTTGATTCAATCTAAGAGCTTTCTGTACTCTCCATTAGCAGCTACGCAAATTAAACTCTCACGCTTCAAAAAGTTCAAAAAGAGATCGTAAACTAATCAATATGAATTGAGTGGTTTAGTCCAAATTTTCTGAAGAGACAGGATCGCTTTATATGATGAACAGACTGAATTTAAGCTTTTATTCACATGTGGATGCCATAAAAACCTTATTTATAAGAATTCAAGGTTACATGGGTCAAAAATCTGAACCACTGGCCAAACTTTTGAAAAAAAGGTTGAGCCGATTTGTTTTAATGATAGTTTAGGATGTTTTCAGTATCAAATTTGGACCATGGAAAGCAACGAGAAACCCAGTAAGAGTTTGAAGAAATATCTGCAAAAGTGCAGCCTAAACTGACCTGCTGGTTTCAGCATATCAAATTGCAAACTGAAATGCCACAGTGTGTGAAAATCTCTAAATTGCCATGGAAAAGCTGCCAAATATCACATTAATTTCCAATGTGATGATTCTTTGAAATAGTAGCCTACAAGACCCGACACAGCAAGTCAGCAGCAGTCAGGTTCTGACATCCTATCTGAGTGTCCTGTCTGTGTCATTCCTGTCCCAACTTCTTCCTCCCATTCAACAGTACTCTCTAAAGCTGGGGTCCAAATAATATTTAACAGACATGCATCATGAGTGATATCGTCCTGACAACCTAGCCAAGGGGTTTACAACAAGAAACAGCCGATTTACTTCCATTCGGTGAAGTAAACTATGAATAAACACCTGATAAACAGATTTAAAACAGAAACTATCAGCTATCAGGGCTGGTCACATGTTACAGTTGACTGGTGAACTCGCTGACATTGTAGATCAGTTGTTTAGTCTGTTTAACCCCGTCAGCCGTCTACCTACCTAGACAGCATTTATAGACATAATTTTTATGTGAACCATGACAGTTCACTGGGTTATTCTTCAACGTATAATGTTGGAGATGATTTGACAAACATAAGACGATTTCACAACATCTGACTGAACATGCTGAACATGACCAAGCGTTTACACCGGCAAAGATTCAAAATTGCCTTCCACTTCAATCAACCCTGAATAAATCTCACAAATGCCAGTTTGAAAAGCGTTTAAGCTTCATATATTTGCTTTGAGATTCACTGATAAACCTATAGGTCGAGTACAGCAATGTGCTAAGCTAACTGGCCGTTTACACTCATGCTTTAACTGACATGGTGTAGCTTCTCTCGGATTTTCGGCTACAGATTTGCTCCCTAAAAACCGCAAACAGAACTAACTCATTAAAAAACAGATTAGTTTGAATACTTACCCATCGTACTTTCTTTACTGATATACGCCTTGATGATTGGTAATATCAACGCTGTAATCTTAACACTCTCCTTGTCTTCCAGAATTTGCTTCTCACAAACAATATGTCGGTGATCTACGGAGAGCCGAAGGAGACAAACTTAATGACAGCGTTTTCAATTTGTGTCCTACGAAACGCCGAGGAAAATGCGAGAATATATTCTGTCAAAAAATATACTTAGACATATATTCAATAAATATTGTATTTATTGAATATATAATATTTTTATTGTAGAATTTATTTCTTGTTGATTTACAACACAATTACAGGTTATGAAGATATAATCTATGATAAAAAGTCTAATCTATTGAGGCTATGAGCTTGCACAAACACTGTAAAAAAATATGGTGAATCAAATATTGTTGTATTATGTTGTGCATATTGACACAAACAATGCCAAGACATAGGGCCTACACTATGTTCAGTTCTACTAGAAAATGTTAACATAACACGGGTGCATGAGGAAGGCTTCATAATAATAATCATAATAATAATAAAGAATAACATAGACTACTTGTCAGTATGATATTCAATAATATTATTTTACATTTTTACATTTATACAACAATTTTTTTCAGTACTGTTTCGTGAACAAAATCATCTCATTTTATGTATATGGAACTTCCCCATTAATAATAGCTAATTAGGCCTGTGAATAATTATCATGACCATTGAAACATTATTATATCACTTCCAACCAACTACAAAACTGCACTTATGTAAACAAAATCAATAGGCCAATGTAATTTATATTAAAAACTATATTGAAGCATTTCACATGTTTTGATTTAACTTGAAACATATTTTATTTGATTAATAATGAAGAATTCATTCAAGTTTCACACCATTTTCCAAACAAGGAAGTATCTAATAAAATGATTATTTATTATATTTTGTCGATAAATTAATTTAATAAATGTAAACAAACATAATTAGTGGATAATGCAGTATTTTAGAAATTATATTCGTCTTTATTTATTTCTCATTCCTTTTTTCTTTCAAGACCAATAAATTGATCTTGTCTAGAATGTAACTCACAGTGGATTGTCTTTGCGGCTTTGTGACTCCATTAATGCACTCAGCTCGGCACAAATTGAATGTGACGCAATAACAGAGTGTGTCGCACCTGCACTCAATTCTCTGCGAGCAGGTAGCGATAAATTATAGTCCAACTCCTGTGGTTAGGCCCCTGATGACATTGCGTTCAATGAACACTTGGGGGCAACATTGGATTAACTCAGTGAGGGCCCAAAAGGGGACTCGCCATACAGAGAGATTTGTATCATGTTCCCGAGACACTGTGTATTTACATTTACATGTGTGATGTGAAATAATGAAAGGTATAAGGTCTTCACATCTGGAACCGTATGCTGCTGATGTCAGTTTTCCTGCAGTGGTTTACAGTTTTCCACCAATTCCTAATTTAAGGTCCATCAAACCTGATCTTGTGTAGCTAGGCAGTTTAAACGAATGGGGAAATAAAACAGGGTCGTTTATCAGTGCCAGGTTTCAAAAGGTGAGTCGTGACCCCATGTAGAAAGAAATTCCTATATCTGGCATAAGCAATATGTTTCAGTAAAGCTGTGTGATAATGGCCACACAGTCCTTATTGTTTACACACACACAAAATGAGTAGGCCTATTACTGTATTTCTTGGACCCCGCATTTGCCAGAAAGACATTTACATTTTGAATTTTTTAAATCTTGTATTCTGAGCGAATTTGCATTTTTGCCCTATTCTCACAGTCATAAAGGCAGACAAAGTAAGGAAGGAAGGCTTTAAGAATATTTATAGAAATTTAAATTGTTCTCCTGCATATTTATTTAAGCCTGTCAGCGCTCTCGTACATCTAATCAATAACCAGTGCTGTATGCACGTATTTACACTTGGTAGTACTACTGTGGCTTTGAGCATTATAGAGCCAACTAATAATTAAGATTAAATAAAGATTAAGTTCCCTTTAGACTTCATTTAATAACCATGCCGGCTGTTCTCATTTTCTATTGTATATGCATGTTTGCTGATGAAAAGCAACCTTGTATACCACGCAGTTTGCTTGTTAATTTTGGCTAATCAAGCCTTCAATGTATCATTTGCAAAATAACAAGATAACCATCGAAAGCACTTTGGAAGGAACGTCAGTAGCGGTTTCTAATTTGCTGATTCAATTATACAACATATGCTAATGACCAGCCTCTAAGGTAGGCCTACTCTAGAATGAGAGTTGACTGCTTGTCACACAGACGTCTATCTTTGGATCCCATGCAAGCAGGGCTTTGTGTCTCCCTAATAAAGAGAGATCCAGATAGCAGAAGAGGGAGGTGCAGCTACTGAACAGAGGTGTGTGGGCACAGAGAAAGTGATATGTCTTTATTAATAAATCATAAAATTAAATTCACATCGTTCCTCACTCCCCACCTTCCTCTTTATCTGTCTCCCTTCATGTGGAGCCAAGGTGGCACAAGAGATAGCACACTGTAAGCGTATAGTTGAGAAGTTTGACAGAGCGAGAGATGGTCCAGCTGTGCTAGATATCACAAAAGCATGGTGCTAGTATTGCTGGTTATGGGTGTCACAGCCACCAGTCACCAAGATAACGTGAGCCGTCATTTTGAGTGGCAGACTTTGGTACTATAATCGGGTGTTTTAGAATAGATGAACTCCATGACATCGATTTAAAGGGATAGTTCACCCAAAAATGAAAGTTCGGTAAACCTGTATGTTGTTATTTTGTTTCCATGAAACTCAAAAGGATACATTTGGAATAATCCTAGCAGGCTTAGGACAGTTCAATAGTGACCATGTCTGTCAAGCACTCCCAAGCAAATAAGTACACATTAGCATATACTTTTAAGAATACTTGTGGAAATAATATAATTTAAAAGAATATTCTGTGAACCAAATGTTTTTTGGACACTTAATTGAATGTTGCAATTAAATTAAAATGTATTATAGTCTAAAGCAGGACTTAAGTTCAGTACATCTTCTATAATTTCATAATCACTATGTTGTCTTTGAAATAAAGTCTACTGCTGAATGTACTGATAAGCATTTATGGTAAACTAAAATATACCTATCATTTCTATTGAAACTTGCACGCCATGCATTTGAATAGTAATTGTACACATTTTAATCAAGTAATGTACATATGGATTTTTTTGTGCCTTTTTTATAATAATTTATGGCTTTTTCCAGAGAGTCCAGAATAGTGCATTTAAGGGTGTTAGTGTAGTGCTAAAAAAAAAATATATATATAATACAAAAAAAAAATACCAGCTATATATTTTTTTCTTTTACCAAGAAAAAAAGCATTGATTTTTTTCTTTCACATATTTTATTGCCATGATTAAAATGCTCAAGGAAAGAAAACTTTTTCCTCAGGCCATTCCTAATTTTTCCTAATGTTTAACCTCACTACTTCATGCAGCAAGATGTGACAAAGTGAGGGTTTACATTGGAAAACACTTAGCTATGTTAACTGTCTCGGATCAATGCGCCCCAATTATTGTACACAAATGAAAATTGATAAAGATACTTAAGGAAGTGCCACCACTTTGCAGGCGTCTGCAACATCATTATACAAGGACCAAATAAATTCAATAAAAATCACAATTTATCAAATTGCAGTTTATATTTCCTCAAAGCTGTGCATACTTATTAAATTGTAAGAATCTCAGCCAATATGACATTTCCTATTGATAAAATGAGAAATAAACACCGAAATGCATAAACTTGGAGGGCATTGGCTGACAGAATGAAGTAGTGCATATCAGAGGATTGGTTTTAGGCAATAAACATGCTAATTTGTCAAGAGTTTGTGAGAGCATCTATTTTGAGGACTACTCAAGCCAAACACATAGAAAGCGAGATGTGTGTAGAAGAGTGCTAGCTGCAGCCCCTGAAGGTGATCTCATTATTACACTGAGTTGCACTAGTCAGGAGGCTGTGCACATAAATCCTCATAGTTATCCTGGATCAGTGGACATGAGAGACCAGGAGGCCTGGGGCCAACATCTCCTTCTCCCTCACTAAATCAGTCTTGCCCTGGACCAAACCCTGGTCCTGCCTGATCACTAGACCCTTAGAGACAGGCCAGTCCTCATAAATCCTTGCTGAGAGTCCTTTGTCACAAGTTGCAGGGCTTTTTAAACATTATGAATCTTCAAACATGAGACTCTGTGAGCCCGAGGATCAATGGGACTATAAATACTAATACTGTCAAAGTAAAAGGTCTTCTGATACCATAAACAAATCCCCTGGGAGCCCTAGTGTGGATGTTATTTACAGTTAAAGGGATCATTCGGACAAAAAAATGAAGATTGTGTCATCCTTTAATCTCATACGTGTCATTCTAACTGGCATGACTTTCTTTCTTCTGAAAAGAAATAGAAACATTTTGAAGAATATACTGGTTGCTCTATTACACGCTGCACCACAAAAACGTCTTGTTTTCCTACAAATATCTAAAATAAACATTATTAAATCAAGATACATTTTTCTTAAGAAGCATATGATATTAAAAATACGATGTCAAAGGGTGTGACATAACACAGGCAAATACATGAACCCGCCCACTGGTGTTCAGTCGCTTAAAGGCTGACACTTGCCTACAACGGATTAGGATCAAAAGCAAATTTAACCCATTATAATAACTGACACTGCATACACTGGATCCAGTATACAGATGCCCGTTCACTTTACTCCACTCGCTTGAGTCTGGATGCTTGGGGTAATGACTATGGGCACATGTGTGCTTCCTGCTTCTGCAGACACTGTTGGCTTTCTGCGGTCGTAGGTTGTCTTGGCACCTGCAGAGCCAGGCGAAAAGTGCCTGAGGGACAGTCTCGCAGATTGTGGTCCAAGCAAAGAGTGGGCGACACCCTGCTGGATTATTTGGCAGCGTGGGAAAGTCTGTCAGAAGTCTCTCGCTGGGTACACCATCCAGTTTTGATGAGGGCCGCCTCGTTTTGGTGGGGTTCTTCCCAATCCCACGACAGTGTTCTTTGGGGAGGTCCTGGTGTTAAGACTATAAATTCTTTCACTTCTGAAGAAAGGGGCTAAAGAAGAAGTACCCCCCTCCCAGGTCTGGGT